AAAATACATACATTTGCATAACAATGAGTGGCTCCTAAACACCTGTAATTTGCCATGTTGCTTGTCTTTGTGGAGATGGGTAAGTTTAATTCCATACTGTGGCAGTGCTATACCATCTCCATGTAGATAAGCAGGTGACTTCTTCCACAATCTTCCACCAGAAAAGTTACATGCACTTACATGAAGTAGGACTACAAAACAGTCCACAGTGTGTATGTGAAAGTATTACATTTTTGGAATTCAACATGTAATGATCATTAGGGAATGGTATGCAACAATATAGTTTTCTCACTATTTAATACATATCTCATTCAGCACATGGGTCACAAACATCAGTACAGTTTTGATTTGTTTTAGGCGTCAGAAGAACAAAAACAATTCTTCCCTCCTTCCCTATGTTGTTTACTGAATTCTCAATAAAGTAACAGTTTATTAAATCAGAGTTAGACTTTTATGAGGTGTTTGGTTTCATGTATGTGCCTTTTCTTGCTATTCGAAATGGAGTGGACTGTGGAGTACCATTAGTGTATTGAGCCACATATGTTATATTATGTAGCATATTGTTTGTAGGCATGTCACAATAAATACTATATTGACTTATCATACAATATGTAATAGACTTCGGCTTAGACAAACTTTATTGATTCACAAGAGAAATTATTTTGGAATTATGATGGATGGAACAATCGTTTTTTGAGGTCAATGTTTATTACTTTTTTCTTTGTGCTAGTTGGAATTTTTGGTTATTTTTTCTGCAATATGATAACATTTGAAGAATTTTAGAAGGTTGACTTACCTGTATACAATCTAATTACTAAAATATTGCATTCTGCTATTTATTTATTGCAGTTTATGTTCTTTAACAATTTTGCACATTTATTATACTTTTTGTGGATAATTCAGTTTTATGGTTTGGTCATTTTTTTGTTTATTGTCTGTTCACTTCAGCGGTATACCACATTTCAAAATTGGTTATCATGGAGACCTAATTGTTGCATCCCTAGTCACATTTTGTAAAGTTACATCAACACCATGCTAGCAGAAATAGATACATTTACTTGCTGATAAACATATTTGTAGACTGAACTTATTGCCACCTGTGATACTACTAATATTAATCAGTGGTTTTCTCACCTATTTATCATTCTTAGATGATTTTTCCCCATTAGCGCCTGATCCACTCGTCTTGCCTGTCGTGAATACATTTGCATGAACCAAATCTCATTTAGGGAAGCGTTCCATCACTGTGCCTTTCAGGTTGGACGGCTCCACACACGATTGAAATATGAATTTGTGTAAACTCGTTAAATAGCATCCATCAATTACTGCCTCTGCTCAGTGATTTAATGCAGAGATGATGAGAAGAGAGGAGAAAGAGAAATTGACAGGGATGTACTGTAGTTTGGGTGGAGAAGAGATGTGTAATGAAAAAGATTTGAGTCCAGAGTGCTGACCGTTATAAGCTGATCTAATTCGATTCACCCCAGCAGCTCTGGTCTGATGGTGCACAGACAGGGGAGAGTGGGTGGGCGGGGGGCTGGGGTCATCTCTGCTTGAGGTTAGTGCTCAGTCACTCAAGGTGAAGCAAAATCATGTGCAGAATATATAACACATTTTTTTTAACATCTGTACTGCCTGAATTTACAATTATTGCACTGAATCATTATTGTAAAAGAATCATTGTCCAGAGGGATTATAATAAAAAATAGACCAATATTTGCCCTTTTTAGCGCATTGACTATCAACCTTAAATCTCCGCCACAGGCCGATATTTTGTTTTGGCTGATCTTGTCCTATCAAATAATTTTTGAGAAATGAATGTGGTAGCATGCAGATCTAAAACACTGATTTCCCCATCTATTAATAGTCTTAGAATTTCCTGTAAACTGTAGCCATGAATTGCTTTTTAATGGCAGTATTCTTTTTTCTTGGCATGACAAGTTGAACAGTAGTTTCATAAAGTAAAGTTTGATCTCTTCTTACTCCAACATAAACCTTATTTAGTCTGGGTAAAGGTGCACCATGTAACTTTTTTCCGCCTCCGTGTCTCCACGGAGATATTATTGCTTTAAAATAATTTTGCAGTAAATTTCCACAGTATGACACATGCCTATCTCGATGGAGAGGGGCAGATGACACAACCAGAAAAGTTACATAGTGCACCTTTAATAGCCCTTGCTTGGACCTAGTTGGGCCTATATAATCAATGTCTGCAAAAATTATGAAGGAAAACTATTATTGCGCACAGCCGTGTGACATTTGATATAAATTGAGTTTGTCAGTGGGTACTCTCAGCCTGTAATTGGGTCACAGCGTGTCTGTAAGAAGTTATTAGTTTTTACATTGAAATATAATTATGAGACCCCCCCTTCCCTCTCTCCATCTTCTCCTCAAGTCATTATCACATGTCCATTACAATTTGTGTTGTCGCTGTAACTCCTAATGGAGAAGCAGTGTCATTTTGGTTTGGGTTTACAGTATTTGGGAGAGTAACTCAATAACAGTTACACTTCTAGACTGAGCTTTTTCATGTTTTCTGTATGTTCATACACATGGCATTATTTTATGTGATTTTGTTAGTTTGAGACATATAAGATGACATATTTAGATTTGAATAACCATCTTATTTATGCAGTTATACAAATCTCTTTCTGTCTCTGTCATGATATCATATTATTACTACATTATACAAGTGATTCTTATGATATGGCACATAATACACAAGTTTGAGTAAACCTTTATTAATTTTTCTTTCTACATCTCCAAAGCTCAAAATGCTGTATTCAACTTTGTGATGTCACGAAGTGGTAGTTTTCAAATAAATAACTACCTTTTTCCTTTAGTTCAGTAGAGATTGACAATTCCAGGCTTGAAATTATCCAAATTATTCTAGTGAGTATATGGAGTTTCAACACAGTGAACTTACTGTATGACATTACAAGGTGGAAGAGGATGTTTTCTGTTTGAGAGAAGAACTCAGCCTAAATATGCAGGGGGTGGGTGACCTGAATAATCACGATTACCAATTAATCTTAACATTCCTAGTCTTGTCAGTGGTCCGAATGGAAAATTGACCATGATGCTGTTTGAAAAGATTTTAAAATAAACAATGTCCCCAAAAACAGATGAAAACATGAGGCTTAGTCATTGGCTGTGATTCATACTCTGCTCTGTGTAGCATCGTGTGACTGTCTATAGGGACTCCATTGTCTTCCATTGAACCGCTGCCTCTCCCCAGATGCAGTATTAGCTTTTCTCTCTATCCAGCTAGTCTCTCTATCTCCCTCTTTCCTTCCCTTTCTCTCTCCTGTGCAGAATTACAGCTAGCATCAGCACCAGCCACTCTGAAAGCTATTGGCACACACTCGTCCGCTCACACATACACCAACTCACTGCCGCTTGAGATGGAAACTGTCTCCATAGCAACCTCCCCCTTTTTTCCAGTTTCTGAGCTGCAGCGGTAGCAGGTCCACCGAGGGCGTGGGGGGTTATACAAAAAAAAAAAAAAAAAAAAAAAAGATACAAGTCTGTGCCTCTGTCTGTCACTATCAAACACCAAGCTTTCTCAGTTTCACTTTTGAATCTAAATTATGCTACAAATACTTAGGACTGTACAGGAATTACACTTACCCTTTTGTTAATCCAATCACATGTGTATCAGTGTATGTGTGTACTATCTTGTACCTTAAAGGTGCACTATGTAACATTTCTAGTGGAGGGTCCGCCACCTGCTTGTCTCCATGGAAATGTTATTGCTTTGTCTAAAATGTTCCACAGTATAGATTAAACCAATATATCACAAGGGAGGCAAGCAGATTACAGTACTACGCTACATTACAAGTCAGATCTGTGGAGAGTCTCCCCTATTCACAAAAGGAATGAATGTATTTTTGAGCAACAGAAACACCCGTAATGAATAAATGCTAGATGGATATGTTTAATGTCACACCATGGAACATTTTAGGCAAAGCAATGACATCTCTATGGAGACAAGTAGAAAAGTTGCACATGGGAAGTGAGAGTTATTTACTTTTGGAGGAAGTTTATCTCTGTGAAATATTTGGTATAGCTGCATAGAAAATATGAGATTTGCCCTAAAACTGTATTCCTGAATGTGTGGTTAAAATACTTCGATATGGTTAAATTATGTTACTTATACAAATATACTTCTTAGTTTAGTTCAAACGTATATGGTCATTTGATGTTACCTTGAGGCATCTTGGAATTAGGAATTAATTTTGAATCCATAATATATCGTATAAGAGTTATTTTCATTCTTTTACACATTACTCTGTTGTAGGCTACAGCTTTTGTATATATAACACTCAAAAAATGAAATGTTGACCCTAAATAAATACATCTAATATGTCTATTTTCCATTTAATTATTGTGCATTGATCCAAAACAGCTAATGCGGAATTAAAAATATATACATTCATTTACCATACAATCTTTAAATGGGGAAAAGGTGACAAAATAGTAAATATTTTTAGGTGTCACATTTCATTTTTTTTCTGTGTAATTCCTTAGGGTGCAGGTTTTGATGACTTCAGGCCAAAATTGCTATACTCTACATTGTATTGAACTGCTTTAGTGTTAGTACTATACTGGAAAACATGAGGTATGAGGTGTTTTGCAGGTCACGGTTTCATCTTTAATTAAGGCACAAGAGAGTCACAGAGCGCCACAGGGTCTAGAAGCTCATAGCAGCAAAATGAATGCCGTTATTAGTGAGGCAGCCTTTTAAAACTGGGAACACAATTAAATAACACAAATTGGCTCACTTCAATCTCAGGAATAGAACTGCATTAACTGACACCTCATCACACCTCCTGGTACCTCTCTTTAACCTACTTTTTACCATTCTACATTTCACACTGCAGCAGAGATGACCACTTGACATCGAATTTCAAGGATTTTTAGTCGTTTTATGGGTTGTACCTGGACATATTTCTGTGTGCTTGTCCTGACTGTCCTCTCCTCTCTAATGTGTGTTTCAGCTGACATTATCTCAACGGTGGAGTTTAACTCATCGGGGGAGCTGTTGGCCACCGGGGATAAAGGAGGCCGAGTGGTTGTCTTCCAGCGGGAGCAGGAGGTAGGAAATGCACCACTAATGACACTGGCCTTTCACAGAAAGGCTCCAGCAGCACGAGCACTCTGAGGCCAGGGTAAATGCATTGATTTCTTTTGTATTTCTCATAATAAGCATTAGGGCTTGTTTGAAGGGGGATGCTGCCTTGTCTTTCTTCCATCTTCTGGACTAGTCAAAACACCAAATGATTTGTTTTAGTAATGCTTCACGAGCAAATGTCTCATGTAGCTGTCTCAGTGATGTGTAGTAGACCCACTGCTTTGAGAGAAAGGGTGAGCTTTGATCAGTACAATGGAGATAGTTGAGGCTACAGATAGAGATGCACTTTTACAATACTGGTATCAAATATCAGCACTAATTAAGGAAAATCTGCTGAATTGTATATCTGTTCCATGATTCAGCCTATATCCTGGTTGGGCCTTATATTGAATGTTATATTATTTGGCCTGAACACTTATAATGTTTCATAAAAAGTTGTTGAACAGTTACCTGCTGGATAAATAACAGAATTGGATACATTTGTAGTAAGTTACCTGTGTTTTAGTGGTAATAAAATGCCCTTTTCAGTTCCTACTCTAATATCAGTTAATATTGGGTATTGATAGATAACAAAAAAGCCAAAGTATTGATATTGATACTGAACCTGAAAAAGCTGGATCCTGCACAACCTATGGCCAGTGCTATAGATTTGAACCACTGGACGTATCCCTGTAAGGATATCCTGTTTGGTAAAAAAAAAATATATATATATATATAATAATACAAATAATATAAAACATGTAACTATAGATACTCTCCAACAAAGGCTTATATTTGAACTTAGCAAGTAACAAATCCAATGGTATTAATGGGTATACATTCGAACCAGTGTTACTTTTTTTGTTTATTGAAATATAAATAAATGATGATCATTGTACAAAACTGGCATTCAATACTGTATATTATTGCAGCAACAACTGAGCACTCCCCACAGCAACATACATTCAATGCATGGAATAAATGAGGCGTGAGAACAATAAAGACCATAAATGGGGTTCCACCATCCCGCCCCCTGCACACACTCTGCCAGTCATCGATATCTCTAACAATAACACATATAACATAACATAAAACAATCTGCAATACAGCCATACTTCACTCCAAATTATTAACATTTTTCTCTTTGATGTGAAGCAAAGAGACTTTGGGGAAATGCCAAATGTAAATTAAACCAGCAATCATTTTAATAGGAAATCAGGGGGGTTATTTGCATAGTATTTGATCTTTGGAAAATCACAGGGAATGAGCTCCCTTCCTCTGAGAAAAAGGTTCAGTCCAAGTTTTACCACCTAGATTTTAAGCAAACTAAAACTGTGTCAAAATAAGGACTAAAACAAGAGTAAATTCAGGACTAAAAGCAAAACTAGGGCAGAAGACAACAAAATCCAGGAAAAAAAACAAACAAACAAACAAACAAACAAACAAAAAAAATAGATTACTGGACAATTTTATTCCAGTACTTCATAAATACTGTATCCATTTGTGTAACTTCAGGTGGTGATACTGCTATGTCTAAAATTTTCTACAGTATGACATTAGACTCATTATATCTTCAATTTATTCAAGTGTTTTTCATGATAAAGTATGCTGTTTGTCTCCATGGAGATTGTTTTTGTTTTTTGTTTTTTTTGCTTGGACATAGATGTTTACTGCCACACTGTGAAACACTGAGAACAAAGCAATAACATTTCTATGGAGACAATCAATTTGCAGACTCTCATCATCATGGCTAAATCATGGTTAGCCCTATTTATGTCTTTGTTTAGTGATATAGTCTTGTTGCAGACCTGGTTTAAATCTGGTATCAGGTATCAGAAAGTAAAATATTTTATAAACCAGAACTGAACTCAGTACTGCCATTAAAATATTTTTTGTTTGTTTTGTTTTTGCACAGAGTAAAAGCCAGCCCCAGCGCAGAGGGGAGTACAATGTATACAGCACATTCCAAAGCCACGAGCCAGAGTTCGACTACCTGAAGAGTTTAGAGATCGAGGAGAAAATCAACAAGATCAAATGGCTCCCTCAGCAAAACGCCGCTTACTTCCTCCTCTCCACCAACGGTGAGGTCAAAGGTTAAACCAACTCTGTCATGTTGTATCATTGCGGAGAGTAATATATGTTAATGTAAACTGTCTTGTTATGCATTAGTGTTGGGTCACAGTTCATTGCACTTAACTCTGCAAACAAAGTGACAACAGTGAGTCAAATGGGCTCCCAATGCACGCAAGCCTGTCACTGAAATAACATTATCACAGCAATGTAATTATGCAAGCTATAAGAGCTATTATGGTTGCATTGTTTTCATGGTTTAATTATGACCAAAGGGAAGAGGAGGGGAAATAGGCTGAGCTGTTTACCTCCCAAGAAACAATGTAAGTGTTGTAGATGTACAAAAGAACATTGCATTACTGTACAAAGATAGTACTGGAGCTAATTTGGAAACAGCATGCAAACATAATAAATTACTTAAAGGCCCATATTACACAATTTTCTGATCTATTTTATAATGTTGTTTCTTCATCACAAACATTCCTGGAGTTGTGTTTTGTTTCTTTCACATTTCATTATCACACAAACCCTGCATATTTAGGTAGTGTTCTTCTCTCTAACAGAAAAGACTCTGTTCCACTTTGTGATGTTATGTAATAATACACGAAGTGCTCCACTATGTTTTTAAACTCTATACACCACTGGAATCCTTTGGATGATTTCAGCCCTGGAATTTCCTTTCTCTGCTGAACAAAAGCTAAAAGAAGCTGTTAACCTAAAAACTACAGCTACATGACATCACAAGATGGAACAGCATTTTGAGGTTTGGAGATGTAGACAGATGAATAATGAAGGATTACTCAAACATGTGTGAATGAAACAAAAAACAACTCCAAGTATGTTTTTGAGGAGATAAAAAATTATAATATAGCTGAAAGATCACAACAGTCAATTTTGCATAATTTAAGACCTTTAAAGGACCTGTACATGATTTTAAACCAAGAGTCAGGAGCATGTTTTAGTTTGAACTTTTAGTTCTCTCCACTTCTTTCTGCCGCTGTGATATTGCACCATGACAAATTACTGAGATAGTGCCATACAGTTTTTTCTGCCTACTACTAGTAGTTGTCTATTTTTGTCACTTTTGAAAATGCACCATGACTGGGAATCAAGTGTTTGTGATAGTGTTAAGCAGTTGGTTTCCCATGATTCATAGTGATAATTCATGTCCCTGTAATAGTCATTACCCAGGAAAATGCAATGTCAAATGAATTGACAATATTTTACAGTGTCGATTCGTTTCTTTTATGGCAGCTTTTACCATACAATAGTAAAAACATTTATGTATCAAAATAAAATCAGATACAGGCCCTTTAAATATAGTAGCTTCCCCGTATTTTTTCAACTTAGAGAATCATGTTCGATTTTTAGTATTTGTGTATCCATTCTTGAGATTGGCAGAGTACAATGGCTTTTGGCCCCTTGTGACTGTATTCCCATTACCTCTTAAACTAGAAATAACTGAGTGAAGGTGACATGTGCGAATGCTACTGCTAACAAGCATGATCTCTCCAGTCAGCAGATTTGAGAGCGTACAGTAGATAGGCTAGTGGATGGGGTCACATGTATTTCTTTACTTATTTCATTGTTTCATATTACCTGCAAATGTAAATTAAATAAATTACATAGAACAGGCACAGAATAAAGACAAGGATAACAGCAGATACAACTGTATACAGATGCATCTAAAGATCATATTTTTGGTGAAGAATTTGAGACTTTTTCCTGATGAAGTTGAAGGAATGGTATGTTTGGGTGCCTGAAAATAAGATTTAAATTATGGCTACCATTTTTGTGTGTATATATATATATATATATATATATATATATATATATATATATATATATATATATATATATATATATATATATATATATATATATATGTGTGTTTTCTAATTTGCATCACATTTATTTAATAGATATTATTAGTGTTGTCAGGATAGGCACTTAGACAACAAATACACAGTAGCTTACACATCACAATAAATATAATTACCATGATAAAAATAGCAAGGAACTCGTATCAATAAGGCATCAGTCCCTTGTTTAATTATAAATACTTAAAATTCTTCTAAATCTTTTGGAAAAGGCTCAAAATTCAATACTGATTTAGACTTGATGTAAAGTATTATAATGTATTTTATCTATTTAATATCTATTTTTTAAAGGAGTCATTTGCTCTAGTTTTAGTATCAATTAGTATCTGGGTAATTTGTGAGAGCCCCATTATCATTTCTATTACATTAATTACCTTTAGTTAGTAATATGTGTTAGTAGGTCACCACTCTGCCTCTGTGTGACCATTCATTTCGCAGGGAATTACCTTAGCCACAACCTGGTAAATGTAATCTTACACGTAACATTACCTCACCAAGAAATACATTTACTGACAGTGTGGTCCCCAGAAGCTACTTTATGTATAGGCCCCAAATCGTGACCCCAGACGCCCAGAGTCTGGTATCACTCTGTCCCAGAGTCACACATGAGTGGAGAGGGCCCTTACAGATTGTGAGCTTCATGCATGGCTGCTACAGGAGTGCTACGGTGAGGGATGGAGCAGATGGTAGGGTCCTGTGGCGATGTGGCCTCTTGCTCTGACACCCGTATTCACAGCAGAAATTAAAAAGGAAAAAAAAATACTAGCAACCACTCAGGCGAAACGCAGAGATGTAACTGGTGTTTACGGCAAATGGAAATTGCCCTAAAGCTCGTGCATGTATTTCAGTGCAGAAATGTACAGGCAACTTGTGGAGTGGTATCATTGACATCTATAGCAGCTCTCATTCATCATCTTGGCTTGGCTCTGAACCAGCTCCTGCCAGATTGCGTACCCTACCCCCAACATCCAGCTTGTATCTGAGAGTCAGTGTAGTGCTCAGAGCTGTTAGAAGAGAAGGGAGTATGCAATAATGAAGCTGAGCATTGCAAAAATGAATAGGAATAGTGATTTTACAAAAGTTCAATTGCAATTATTAAAGGGCTTATATTAACCTATTTTCTGATGCTGTTTCCTGATCAAAAACATACCCAGAGTTGTGTTTTTGTTTCATTCACACATTCACACATTTAAGTATGAGTCTGTCTACATCTCCCCAGCCCTGTTTCACCTTCTGATGTCATCAAGTGGTAATTTTCAAGTTAAAAGCTACCTTTTACCTTTAGTTGAGATCATCCAAATGGTTCTAGTGAAGGTGTATGGAGTTAAAAACACAGTGGAGCACTTCCTGTATTACATGACGTCACAAGGTGGAACAGAGTGTTTTCAGTTTTAGAGAAGAACACAACCTAAATATGCAGGGTTTGTGTGTAATATATATTCTAACATCTAAAATCTGATGTGAGTAATGAAAGAGACCATTATCAGAAAGAAATTAAATGTTTAGAATTTTTACAGTGAATTAATTTTTACATTTAAATAATCTTATAAATCTAAAATAATATATATTTATCAGATTTGGAGTTTGCAGATAACTGTAATGTAGTATGCAGGATTGTAAAGTCTTTGTAACTAAGTGCCTGTGTGTTTGATGTGTCCAACAGACAAAACAGTAAAGTTGTGGAAGATCAGTGAAAGAGACAAGCGTCCCGAAGGATACAATCTGAAGGATGAGGACGGCCGGATTCGAGACCCTTCCACCATCACCTCTCTGCGGGTAAAGACTCTCCACAGGAAACAGCCAAGGCTAAATATGTCAGCTATAGAAAAGGAGGAGATACAAGATCTGGCAAAAACATACAATGATGGAGAATAAGTGAGAATAAGTGCTCAGAACTGGGATATAAGGTTAACATACACTTTAATGTACCCATAGGGACATTTTTCCCCTGCATTTGACCCGTCCTTCAATGCCACTGGGGCAACCTGTCAGGAGAAGTGAATGCAACAGTGTGTTGTGCCCAGGGACCCATCTCCAGCTCTTGAGTTGGTGGTATAATGGTGTAAAATGGAGGAAACCTTGGGGCACTCAAAACACAAAGTGAAATGAAAATGATAATTACTTTTCCAAAGAAGATGCAATTATATCTCACAGTTGTAAACAATTTGAACCCATCAGTTGTTCCCCTATGAGTTATTTATCTGATCCATGCATTAACGGTGAACGGTTTCCTTCTTTAATCAAATCAGTGAGTTGTTATCCCTTGATTTTTCTATATAACTTGCAATCATTAAGAATACAAAGAAATCTATATATAATTAAATAATAAATATATTTAATATGCACTACAGGCAAACAGCGCCAAATGTATTTCTGTGTGACTACTGAGCTCTGCAAACCTATTATGAACGATGCCTGGAATAAATGAGGCATGATGACAATAAAGATCATAAAAAGGGGGGACAGACATCGCACCAACCCTCACTCCCACAGCCTTTAATATCTCTGTAATAACTCTGATGAATGATCTGCAATACAGCCATACTTCACTATTAAGACGATTGTGTAGCCTTCAGTGCTCCAGCCCTCTGATGGGTAAAGTGGGCAGAATAACTGGGAAGAAATGCCACGGGGTTATTCAATGGTCAAGAAACCTTCTCTGATAATCTACTTTTTTTTTTTTGGTTGATTTAAAATATGGGGTAGGGGCGGCGGTGCACTATAGACTGAATATAATCTTCTGGGAGCCATCTTCACAACAATAATCAGATATGTTTTGCAATACACAATCAAAAATGTAGCTGTTAATCTCAGTAGAGGCAGTATTGTGGAAATATGCTGAAAATATCCGTTTATATAAATGTAATAAATTTAAAGTAATTACAGAACAACTTTGAAAATATACAAGTTCAATATTATGAGGTGGTTTGGACAAACATGAGGCAGTAAATTGTCTTATGACACCAATTTATAGAACATTTTCAGTTTATAGAAAATACAATATCGACTGAACTGGGACTGTATTGCAGCTGATATCCAATACCAGTATCTGGATATGATAGTGTAGACAATACTGTGTTTCCCCCTTTAATATCAGGCAGATAATAGGCATACAGAAGAGTTGCAGTTTAGTTAATTGGGAGACCTAACTCAGTCTTTTGGGATCCTGTGCCGCAAAAGGTGCTCTGATAATCCTCTGTGTGCACATTAAGCAGCCTGAAAGCCAAGCTGAAAAAAGCTCATGTGGCTATGATAGGCCTTAATCCCTTATAACGATCTTAACACAGCTACAGCTACCACTCTGACTGCCACACTTCCAAGGCAGACTTTCTTTAGAAAATCAGTAGCTTAATTTTTACTAATCTCTGTAACAAGTCCATTTCCAAGGAATTATGATTTTATGCCATGTTAATTGAGATTTTTTTTTTCTTGGAGATGTAAAAAAATAAGAAAACGTATTAAGTACAAGTATTAAGATTTAAAGCTGCACTTATGTAAATTCTATGTTGGGGGTCGGTCACCTGCTTTGTTTGGGATGCCATTCTTTTGCCACAGAATGTTCCACAGTATGGCATTAAATTACAGGTAGTTTTATAGCTAAAAAATACCTACAATAGAAAAACTGGCATTCTGACAGTGAGTGGATTGCCTCTCCACAAATCTGACCTGTAATTTGGTCTAGTTTGGCCTCCATGAAAATGTAAAGGTTTAATAGCATACTTTGAAACTTTCCAGACAAAGTAATAACATCTCCATGGACAGAAGATTCTGACGGACCCTCCACCATAAAAGTTACACAATCTTTATTATGTTGTGGACAAATATTCTTTACTAACTTACTGTAGATAAGTAATACTAGCAATAATTTTAACACAAATAATAATGATTTATAATAACAACCTCTGCAATGCATTATTAATTCACTCCACATTGGGGATGGCAAATTACTATAGTGTGGACACAATAATAGTATGAATTAGTCCAACTGTGATGTGAACTGTGATGGTGCTTTAACCAATGAGCCACCGCTTCCCATTTTAGCAGGATTATTCCAAATGTATTATGATTTTCTGGAGAGTGAAAGCCTATATAGAAAAGGAAGGAAAACAGATCTAGTTCATTTTAAAAGGTTTGCAGTGGTCCAAAGTCATTCCTCATGTATTGTATGCATTCAGAGCAAATTCTTTACACAACGTTTAGAGACCAAAGGAGAGTTTTACTGTTTCTGTAAAGCTAACAACAACTAGCATGCTAATGTGCACTGATTATTGAACAATAAACCAATATATAGTACACAGCTGATTTAATTTGACCTCAAGAGCTGCGTACAATATAACTGTACTGGGATAGATCAAATTATGCTCAAATACATAGGGGAAAATTAGCGCAGGTCCTTTAATTATGAAACTTTAAAATCCCCAGTTTGAAATTGATGTTTTGGATCTATATTTATGTGATTCCTAAGTAAAACCTATTCCTATTTCTAGTAAATTATCAGAACCATAAAATTTGACCATCCACCCCCAAATGACAATATGTGTGGAATGAATGGCCCACCCCTCTTGTGCCCCTGCTCTTATCACTCGGCCTCCTCTTTAATTTCCACACAAAGCAGTTGGTCTCACAGGGCAGAATGTGTGTGTGTGTGTGTGTGCGTCGACTATAGTAGTAGATTAGTGCAGCGTTCAGCATGTCTCTCTCTCTCTTTGTCTGGTCGGCCAAGGGATCATAGCAACCTGGAAGACGGGTCGGGACTGTGGCAATCCTGTTTACTGTGAAATCTAAATAGGAGGTGTTAGGGCGCAGCGAGTGGGGGGGCAGTGGGGGGCTTATAGATATGAATTTGAGATAGAGATGTCTAAAAGAACAACAAAGACTTGCTAAATCTAGGAACCAGAAATGAAAGACAAGGCATGTTTTAAGTTAGAATGCAATAATATGAATTTTATTCTCCAATTTGTTATTAAAGTAAAGGCAGAGATACTTGAGACTGATTTTGATACCACAGTCAACTAGGGATGCACTGACACAATAATCATAGTTAATATTGCCAGTGTTGGCCCAAAACACCTTATGATATTGTAAATTACGATTAATTACGATAAATAAAAGTTACAAATACATACACCAGAAATAAAAGGAAATAAATAATCAGCAGATACTTAAAGCCATAGTATTGGCATCGGTATAGTCATAATAGCTAGAATGGTTAAGTTAACAAAATATTACTGTGTTCTTGCACCAGTTCTGATATAGAGTTTGAGTTGTTTTTGAAACGCACCATATAAGATTTCTACATACATGCATACATACAGAGATACATAGATACATACATACATACATACATACATTCATACATACATACATACATTCATACATATCGGGTCATTGTAAGGTCTGTAAGGTTTTCCACTAAAAACAGAAATAAAAAAATATGTATAATAGAGTATATTCATATTTCTATCATATCTATCATATTTCTTTTTTCATGGTTTATGTTATTTACTATTATTTGTCATTTTATGCTGCCATATTGCCAAAGCAAATTTTACTGACAATGGCAATTTTGATTCTGATTCTGTGATTACATATATTGCCCAGTGTCTTTGTATCTCACATTTTCAATATGAGGTAGATCAGGGGGTCATTGTTAAGCAGTGGCTGTAGATTGTAGCTGTCATAGCTGGGTCTGTGGGTTAATGCTGGTCTGTCTCTCCGGACACACAGTGAAAGACATGAAAATGAGCTGACACCCGTGGAGAGACAGGGTCCTGCTGAGCTGCCCTGCCTCTCTGACAGTGCCAGCTACAAACCTCCAGAAAAAGAGAGAAGACGCTACAGATTTGTCCCTCTCCCTCCCCCCTTCTCTCCCCCCTTTGTCTGGGTTTTATCAGGCCAATGGGGGGCTGGTGCAGAGCTGCTTTGAAGCACCGTGCAGTCCCTCTCTGCATTTAGACATGTGTTGTAAGTCTATGGGAGCTAGCCTTGAAAACACAGAGAGGAGTTATCGTTCCACGGCAGGGATCAGCGATGCCTCGAGGCCATTTATGATTCCTTGGCGTTCCCACATTTGGTCAGATGGATAACTTCTTCTGGACTTGCATGAGAGAGAGAGAAAGAGAGAGAGGGAAGACAAAAAGAGAGACAAGAGGAATGGAAATGGAGAAAGATGGAGAGTGGCAGATGATGAGAAAGACAGGGAAAGAAAGAGAGAAGAAGCAGAGAGCATGAAGATGCAAAAGAGAGAGAGAGAGAGAAAGTGGAGGGGAAGAGGGAGAGTGAAAGAAAGAAAGATAGAAAGAGAGAGGTGGAAGAAAGAGAGAAGAAGCACAGAAAGAAGATAAATAGAGAAAGATGGAGGGGGCAGGTGATGAGAAAGATGGGGAAGAAAAAAGAAGGGGAGAGACAGAAAAAGAGACAGAAGGAGAAGAAGAAAGACACTGATTAAGAAAGAGAGAGGAGAATAGGACAGAAAGAGAAGAAGAAAAAGAAGAGAGAGTGTGAAAGAAAGATGAAGGAACATGTTCAGTCACTGGCAAACAGATATTCACATTGCCATCATCCCCCCTGAAGCCCCCGCTCACTGTCAACTGCATTAAGATTTGTGAAGTAAATGTCACGGCTTCCTGTGGTTCTGCACAGACATGCAGGGCTATGCGAAAGTCCCAGAGGACAGTCTTAGATTTTAGAAAAGCATATAGACAAAGAAGTGGTCAACGTAAATGCACAAAAAAGAAGAATATTAAAGTTTAGACCACTGCTAAAGCACTGGTCCAATTTTTGCAATGGTAAAGTGCCCAGGTGGATTTATGTTTAAGATCCTCAAGGGTAAAATAAATATCTCACAATGAAAATGTATTATTTATTTAGTAAGTGAAGATAGTATTCAGAAGCTGTGTGCAATCTTAGTGCCTCCAGGTCTTGGTATCTAGGTTCATGGTCAGGAATAACTATTTGAAGAATAAGCCCTATGCGCATGTTACAGGTTAATATTTTATATGTATTTCAAAGTAAGCAATTTAAAACCTGGACTAAAGGCACTCAAAACATGCCATATGCTGGTTTTATTGCCCAGTCAAATTGGCACAGGAAACGTACATATATTTTGTGTTTTCTAAAAGAAGATGTCCTCAAGTGGCATCACGTAAAGGTCTCAAAATTGACTCTTGTGAATTTCAAGTCAGGTTAGAATGTTATTACATAATCAAGAATATACGTAGATTTGTGTTTTGTTCCATTCACATATGTTTGAGTAAAGTAAGGCAAGGCAAGTTTATTTGTACAGAACAATTTGTACACAAAGTAATTCAAAGTGTTTACAGAATAAGAAATGCATTAAAATCACAATACAAACAAACCAAAACATAAATAATCATCATAAAATAAAAAAAGAGAGAGAGGGACATTAAATGAGAGAGAAGAGTGCGGAATGAAAACCTCAAATGCACAGCTTAACAGAACAGTTTTGAGCCTGGATTTTAACTGAGTCACAGTAGAGGCTTGTCTCAACTGCTCAGGAAGACTGTACCAGGTTTTAACTGCAGAAAACTTAAATTCTAACTCCCTGTGTTTAGTCCTGACTCTGGGCACCAGCAGCAGGCCGGTCCCTGATGTCCTCAGAGTGTGAGATGATTCATATGGCACTAACATGTCACAAATGTACTTTGGTGCTTGGCTATGGAGAGACTTGTACACAAGCAGAGCCACTTTATAGTGTATTCTCTGAGCCACAGGAAGCCAGTGCAAAGACCTGAGCACAGGACTTAAGTGCTCGTAGGTCCTGGTTCGAGTAAGGACCCGAGCTGCAGCATTCTAGATGTACTGCAGTTACCTTACAGCTCGTCTGGAAAAGCCAGTGAGCAGGCCATTACAGTAGTCTAACATACTGGAACCTGTGGGCCAAAGACCATGACTTCTGTCTTGTCTGAGTTTAGTTGTTACTGCAGTTTCTTCTCTTGTTCTACCCAAGCTGTGATTGTACATATTCATCTTTTCTCTGTAAATCTCATAATGAATCTGGAGGTTTGACTTGCACCATTTCTGCTCTGCCCTCTGACACTCCTTTTTCTGTGCTCTGACCGAGTCATCATTCCTCCACGGAGCTTTTTGACCTTTATTATTAGTTTGTCTAAATCTCCAAAGCTCAAAATGCTCTGCTCCATCTTGTAATGTCATGAAGCAGTAGTTTAACAAGTTAACAGGTATATTTTACCTTTTGTTTCGACTGGCGATTCCAGGGCTGAAAATATCCACATGATTATAGTGAAGCTGTGGAGTTTTAAAACTAGTTCCTGTATTACCACATGACATCACAAGGTAGAACAGAGTATTTTAGTGTAAGAGGAGAACACAAGCCCCAAAATACAGCATGTGTGTGTTAAACATGTGTGAATGAAACAAAACACAACTTCAGGTATGTTTAGTGATGAGGATTCAACATTATAACATAGATCAGAAAATATCATAATATAGGTCCCTTAAGTCTAAACTGGGTCAAACTTCTTCACATGCAATATAATGAATAATAAATTAATTGAAAAAAGAGATGAACAGATAACCAAAATAACTGTTACCTACAGCCTTAGTTTTGATTTTAGAAAAGGAAAACTGAATTTCCATAAGCAATCATTACAAACTCGGTAGAGCAATTTTTCCGTTCACAGTCATACATAGCCTCTCCTGGTCCTGCATGTGAGTGAGAGATAAACAAATCAGCTTCTTGCATGCATACATTCACAGTACCATCAAAGCGCCTGCAGCCCCCCGCTCACTGTCAGCTGCATTACGATTTGTGAAGTAAATGTCATACTGCTCCCTGGGGTCATGCAAAGACATACATAAAAACACCAGATGACTGTTCACGCCAGGCCCATGTGCAACTGAGACGATGCTCCTCCATAAAAGGGCGCATAATGAACACCCCAGGAAATACAGCAATACCGTTTACAACATACTGAAGTATTTTGTTGTCATTATTTTTAATGAGTAAACATGGCACTGTAATTATCGTTCCATATGATAGTATCAATATATTGCCTGGATCAATCATTTATGTACCTTTTATTTGCATTATTTGGGAAATTCTTATTTTTATGTAGTGTTAGGCTTATGGACATGTGAGTTGTGGATTGTCAAATTATTAGAATATATGATAAATTACAGATACTAAAACTAACTACTAAAGTTAACTTCTTTAAAACCCTAGAAGTTAAGGTACAAAAGAAAAAAAAAATGGATTAACTACTAAAGAGTTTTGTTGTACTTAAGGGCTGCAACCAATGATTATTTTAGCAGTTGACCACTCAGTGATTATTTCTGTTGTACACTGAGACTTTTTATCTATCAACTTTATATCAAAACTATGCAGTATTTGATGCTCTAAAAGTACAATTTTGTAGTTTTCCTATGGCAATGACAATAAAATCTTGATATCTTGCTCATTTTGATCTATAAACCAAATAAAGGTTGCAATGTGGTGACTAAAGGCTTCTAAATATAGAGATATAGTATAGTCCAGATAACCATTGCGACTATGATTATTTTTATAGTGGACTAGTCACAGTCAGTCAATCAACTGTTGAAGCCCTGGTGCAATATATATTTTGCTGTTTTTGTATTTTTTACAGTATAGTTCACTTAGAAAAGGGTTTAGTGGGATTATCCTGCTTTTAAGGTGCAGCCCACTCACAGTAAGAATGCAAGTTGTAGGTCAATATAAACCCATGGTATTGATTAAATGCAAGGTGAAAATGTTTAATGCCATACTGGGACATTCCAGGCAAAACAATAACATCTAGATGGTGGCAAGCAGGTTGCAGACCCTCCACCAGGAAAAAAAGTTACACTGTACACCTTTAAGTTTATGTCATTATTGTTTATTGTGAAATGATGATTTCTTAATACATCTAACTTACTTTTTTTATGGTAAATGATTACTAACAGATGTTTTTCTGTTTTGTAGGTGCCAGTGCTACAGCCTATGGATCTGATGGTGGAGGCCACAGCCCGGCGCGTGTTCAGTAATGCTCACACTTACCACATCAACTCCATCTCCGTGAACTCTGACCTCCAAACCTTCATCTCTACCGACGACCTCCGGGTGAACCTGTGGAACTTGGAGATCACCGACAGAAGCTTCAGTATCCTCAAAGCAGTTACAGCCATGGGTTTCCAATGAGAGAGTCACCTAAATGTGGGTCAGCTGTTGAGAAATATATGCAAAAAAAGAAAAAGAACAAAAGTTAAATATCTCAACTAAAAATATGTAACAATAAGTGTCTTCTATATGTATATCAGCTATTGAATGTAGTAAACAACATTGAATGAGAGGGTGAATCCAAACTTTTGACAGGTATTGTAGATATCTTATCACAGTAATTACAGTAACCGATCTTGTTCCACCCTCTCTTATTTCTGACTGCAACTATGTCTTGGATCTTTCTCAAGAAACTCTGAGTAGCGAATGAAAGAAAAGTCTGCCCTAAATATAACATAAATCAGAAGTATTACAGTAAAATGTTCAATGATCATGTACACTAAACGTCAGCAATGCTCTCTTTCTCTGGGTGGCCTGAAAACAGCTTTGTAGTCTCAGTATAAGAGACTACAAAGAGACTTGTTTGCTATTGATCGGTATCCCCTTGTTCTTTCTTGAATATGACTAAAAGATATGAATAAAATGCAGCATCAGAAGTAAAAAAAAAAAAAAAAAAGTAATGAAAGCAATAATTATGAAAATGCAAGAAACCTGCTGAGGACCCCGCGTACCTCAGTGATTTTTCCGAGTTTATAGCTTGTGCAGTAGCTATTTTTGAATTTCTTTTCTATGTTGCTACTGCCAAACTTTTAATTTCCTTCGTGATCAGTAAAGTATCTGTCTGTCGGTCTATCTGTCTATTTATCTATCTATCTAGGTGTCTATCTATTCATCTTACTATCTAACAAAAGGCATTGTTAATTAAAAATGTCTTGGATGGGTCTCATAGATTCCTAAGATATTTGGAATAATAACTCATGAGGGCAGTTGTGAAATATCTGACTGGTCTCCCATGAAATACATCAAAACTCCAGCTCTACCTCCAGCCATAAAGGAGAGTACATGATTGATTTATTGCTTCACGTGTAGTTCCACAGTATTTATAGCTCGCACCTTTCAAAAGCATGTTATCTATAAATTTCATTGCCCATTTACTAGCTCAAAACCAGTAAAGCTGAAAGGTAATGGCTCCTTAGTGGACATTTCTCAGACATTGTGGACATCAAACCGGCCAACATGGAGGAACTGACGGAGGTGATCACGTCTGCAGAGTTCCACCCACAGCAGTGCCACACCTTCGCCTACAGCAGCAGCAAAGGCTCAATACGACTGTGTGACATGAGGCAGGCTGCTCTCTGCGACAAGCACTGCAAATGTAAGAAGAAGAATTTTGTCTTATACTTCATGTTGAGTCTTTACTTTTAAAGGGTCTCTGGTATAATGTTGTTTCCTCATCACAGACATACCCTGACTTGTTTAACACACAAATCCTGCATATTTAGGAGTTCTTCTCTCAAATGTAAAACACTCTGTTCCACCTTTTGATGTGATTTGGTAATACAGGAAGCGCTCCACTGTGTTTTTAAATTCCACACCTTTACTAGAGTCATTTAGATTTCAGCCGTGGAATTGTCATTCTTTACTGAACTAAAGGTAAAATGTAGATGCTAACTTGAAATCTACTACTTAATGACATCACAAGGTGGAACAGAGCACTTTAGAGGTTAAAAGTACAGGATTACTCAAACATGAATAAGACAAAACACAACTCCAAGTATGTTTTTGATGAGTTAACATAATTTTAACATGGCTTAATGCTCACAAGAATCAGTTTTGTGTAATATAGGACCTTTAAATGTAGGGTATGTATCATATAGTATTTTGGTTCTCAAACTATCTATCCCATCAGAAAGCAGAATGAACTTTCACAGTAGGCATGGCCTGTCCATATATAAGCTGGCTGAGAATAAACTAATTTTATTTGTGCCCTCAATACTCGGCTTTGGCAAACCAGGTTCTGCTGTGATCTCATAAATCAGTAAGCATGCAGGCTTCAAACTCTCTTATTTTAAGCAATGCATTGAACAATATACATTAAACAGTATACATTTACAATGTTTATTTCCACATAAGGTACTAAATATGGACTGTTAAAATTTCTTTCTTTCTTTCTTCCTATCTATCTATCTATCTATCTATCTATCTAAAGCACTATAATTATGATGTAACCAAAGTAATGACCCATATGTAACTTTAACTGTAAGGTCCAAACAAAAGGTAAAGAAAAATCAAGTTAATTGTGGACAAATATTTTCCAATAATATCCCTGGGTATCTTTGTATACTGATGCATTGACTTGTATATTGAGTTTGAAACTGTAGGAAAAAGTGTTTTGCATCAGCACAATTGCCTATTTTCCTCTAGTTATAAATCACATCAAAGTAGAAACCATTTTAGTTTGGTTTGTTGATCAGAAGTGGCAGACTATTATAGAGACAAAAATGCACTCTAGTGTTCATTGTTTGTCAAAAATTGCTGACTCAACAAGACTGTCTTTTCAAATATGAAACAATACATTTATGGTTTGCCTTGGTTTTACACACCGTCCCTCCCCCAAAACTCAATAGACAGACAGGTAGCCAGTCAATAAATCTCTCTTTGTCTTTAACGACACATGGGCATGTCCTATAAGCTTACCATCACATGCATACCCTTTGACTGAATGAATAATGAAAACACTGACATTTTCTGTGTTAAAAAAATCAATGATTTAAACACAATCGCATTAGTCCCTTCTGGACACCTCTTGTTGTCCAATAATGTCACTCTTTTCCTCAGATGTATCGATGTGTGTGCAGTGGGCCGTGAGCTAAAGGCCTGTTGAATTTGTCATGAGTCTTATGTACAAGGAAATGACTGGATCGAAGAGCGCAAAGATAGTTTTAACGGATGTCACAATTAATTTTATTTTTATTTTTACTTTTTATTATGAGAAAAAATATTATTTAAAATATTACTAACCAATCTTTATTCTTTATTTTCATTCAGTCACATTGTCTGATAGATATTATCATAGCTCAATTATGTGACCTGTCAGATTACCTCATCAAAAACATATCCAGTTGGTTTGGTTTATTAGTCTGTCTACATCCCCAAAACTCTAAATGCACTGCTTCAACTTGTGATGTCATGAAGCGGTAGTTTTCAAGTTAAGAGCTACATTTTACCTTTTGTTCAATAGAAGCCGAAAATCTCTGGACTGAAATTATCCAAATGAGTCTAGTGAAGGTGTATGGAGTTTAAAAACACAGTGGGGCACTTTGTGTATTATGACATGGCATCACAAGGTGGAACTGTGAATCTGTTTGAGAGAAGAACTCAGCCTAAATATGCAGGATTTGTGTGTTAAACATGTGTGAATGAAACAAAACACAACTCCAGGTATGTTTGTGATGAGGAAACATTATAACATAGATCAGAGAATATTGTAATATGGGCCCTTTAATATTGTCTCTAATAGTTACAGAAGGTAAATATAAATGCCACACATATCTAAAACCTGTTAGGTTGATTTTTGTTTCTACAGCTATGAACATTTAGATCATACATTTTTACATCTTTGTAACTTCATTCTATAAAAAAAAGTCTAGCCACTGCAGCTAAAGCATTTTTGTGGCTGAATCTTTGCTTTATCACTGCTCTGTAGTTCATGGAGGAGGCAGACATCTTGAACTGAATTTCACTGGCTGTTTCACATGTGATGGCGTCTTCATACAGATAATCTCGTTGCCAGGAAAAGCGTGACTTATCTCTTTGTAATGATGTCATCTCGTCACCCATCCCTTTCTCCATTGTCTAAAGGCGCTAAAGTGGAAACAAAGCCCACTACCATTTTTCTTGTGGCAATTATTTCAACATAATAAAGACCCTATATGATATGCTAATAACCAGTTTAAGATCTGAAATGTGACTTGCTTCAAGCACCAGATCTTTTTCAATGTTAATGTTTTTTGGTATAATGGATCAAAAAGGCCATTAGAACACAATGACAAAATGACATTTTCTATATTGACTTTATAGTGCTCCTGCATTTCTCTTTCATTGGTGCAAAAATATTATTTTTATCTTGACAATATTATAGACTTAATTTTCTGTTTAGCTTTTTTAATATAATAGAATAGTAGCAAAAGCAAAGTGAACCATAACACATTCCTATCCGGTAGAGATATACCAATTCAGCTTTTTCAGTGATGATACTGATATTGTTATTGATGACTTTAAGTATCTGCCGATATCTGATACATATAACCCTTACCAGTGCAAGGATTAAAAATTGCATTTTTTTTCTTTCAAAACTACTTACAAAATTGATCCAGTTGTGTTATGTAACTGTTATATATCCTGCAAGTTACTATTGAACAGCGTTATATGAAGAAAAGTTCAAACATTATGAGACGTGATGGTCCTATATCAGTCATTAAATAGTCTTATTACATCCAGTTAAAGGCCCAACCAGGTTATCACTTGAACTATACCAATACCCAGTCCAGCATATTTTCCTGGATCAGAACTGATATGCGATACCAGTATTAGTATCGGTGCATCCCTACCATTAAGGAACAGAATAATCATAGATATAGTGATATTTTGTTTTATATCCACTTGTTGAAAGTGATAACATATGACTCAAAACCTGATCTGTTGCTCCAAAAAACTTTAGCTACATTCCAGTCAGTCAAATTTTCGATTATTAGCTTTTCTGAATCCATACAGAATCTTTTTAAAGAAATGGCTGATACATGTCTTAAAAATCCACCACTATTCTCTGTAGATACTGCAATAATCATTTTAAAATACTATTCTCAATATCTAATGTGTAATGAAAAGACTGGTCTGGTGTGTTGTTTTGAGCAGCTCTAGTTGCATTCCTTGACAGGTGTTAGACAGTAGCCCTCACAGCAGGCAGGTGTCATCATTAGCCTCAGGACAGCTCGGCTAATACTGATCTACTGTTTCCCAGCATGCACTTGTATACAGCCCTGAGCTATGTAGTGCCCTCCTCCTACGCACTCAGCACCTTTTCCATCCTCCCTCCCCAAAACCCCAGATACCTCCCACACAACAAGCAAAACAATACTAGTACAGCCTCTTTGCTGTTTGTCAATTAGATATCCCTATATATATATATATATATATATGTATATATGTATGTATATATATATATATATATATATATATATATATATATATATATATATATATATATATATATATATATATATATATATATATATATATATATAGCATATACCTGTAAATGTGTCCCAAATATGAACTGACTGAATAAAAAAATTAAAAAAATCTATACATCTCCCACCTCTTTTTAATATTCATGTTTTGATTGTACTCATAAATTATCCCCAAAAACACCCACAGAAGCAAAGCAATAAAGCCAGATTTCTATTGTTATTGTCCCATAGTCATAGCTGTGGACATGAATAAATCAGTGTTACTGCTGGGGAATACTGGGACGAATAGATGGATTTGGAGGAGATCACCAAAACCAAGCAACAGGACCTGAGTCTGCACCCCTCTGTCAACTCCCCAGGGGCCCTATTATACAGCCCTGTAAGTGGGACGGGAGGAGAGAGAGTATTCACTGACACACACAAATCCAGCTGGGCTCAAATGGGCTCGGCATTTTGACATTGATTTGTTTTTCTTATCCTGGTCCTCATCCCTCTATTTTTCATCCCTCCCTCTGCATCCTTCGTTAGACTCCCTATTGACACATCACAGAGGAAAGGTTAGGTTGGGTAAGGTTATTTTTTTTAGCCAAAGTTGGTGAAGAAGGAAGGAAAGGAGCAAAGGCCAGTCAAGATACCACTTTCTAAATGAAAATATGCAATAATTTATAAAATATAACCTTAACATTAATACCAATAATTCTTTTATTTTACCTGTGCATGTAAGATCAAATAATGTTTTCTTGCATACTGTATACAAATGTAAAAAATATGTTTAAATCTAAAAGGATCTAATCTTGGTACCATTCAATGAAATGAAACACTGCTATAAATGAAACAATATATTTACATTTTTATTTGTTATTTTAATATTTTTTATCAGTCATTTTAATCATCAGCTTGAGTCTTTTCAATCAAGAGGTCCACAGCCAAATCCTCTGTCTAATCCTCCTATTTTTTGTGTTTTTGTGTTAAATGGCAATTAAGTTTTGCTTAAAAATATTTTATTGTTTTTGCTGTCTTTAATCTGACCAAAATGAAATACAGTTGAAAATCAATATTGCAGAATATAAGGCAAAAATTGTGATATATATGATTTTTGGCACAGCCCTATTTGAAGCATGCAGAATGGTGATTGTTCCCATAGCATTAAAGTGAAAAAGGGATGGATTAAAGGAGAAATAAGAATGAAAGGAGAGAAGGAGGGATGGGAGGAGGAGTGACAGTGACTTGACAGCCCACGATGGAATGCCTGGCTCTTATCCCTAGTGCTCTGGCCTGCACACAAATCAGCGGCTGCCAAAATCAATATGAATCATAACCAATATTTACCCGTATGCTGACCCATCAGTCTCCCAGAGCAGGAAGAATCAGGCAAAGAGATGCAGCTGCTTCAACATCTCCCCCCTCCTCTTTCCACCATTGTTGTGCCTCATATTGTTCACTAATGACTGTCTCCCACCCAAACAAAATCTGCCTTTTTCCCTACAGCCATGATTACAAACTGCTCCGTCTACCACTGCCTCCTACAGGGTGAATTATGCATTTTTATCTCCCCAAATAATATTTTTTTTCTTTGTATATGCTTTTCCATTTGTAGATTTTGAAGAGCCAGAGGATCCTTCGACTCGTTCTTTTTTCTCCGAAATCATCTCATCCATCTCAGATGTGAAGTTCAGCCACAATGGGCGTTACCTGATGACAAGGGACTACCTCACAGTCAAAGTGTGGGACCTCCAAATGGAGAACAAACCACTGGAGACATACCAGGTAAAATCTCCTCTAAACTGTACAATTTGATAGTGATGGGCAGATCGATTACAAACTATGAATGCACCAATATCAACTGAGATATCAAGTATTGATTCCCCTGCAAAAATGTGAATCTCAAAATTAAATGGATTTTTATACAATTGTAGTAAACTATGTATTAAATTTTTTCTATCTGCACATTTATTTCATTTTAAGATTCAAATTCAAGCTTGGAGCAATGATAATTACAGTAATTATCAAAATTCTTTATAGCACAGAAGATATGGTGCATTTTAGTATCAGTATACTGTTTCATTAACTCCTTTGATAAATGTCTGACCATCAATTAAAGTGAAGAGGTTTTTTAATTGGTGCAAACAATGTATGTATATTACATTTAATTGGAAACTCATATTTCCAGTGTCAAATAGGATTTATAAGGAGTAATGAGTACTTAAGAACACAGTAGTTATATAAAGACTTAAAGGTGCTCTGTGTAATTTTTCTGGTTGAGGGCTCGCCTTGATGTAGATATTTCTGTTTTAACATGATTTTTCCACAGTATAGAAATAAACTTGGTAATTACGATGGAGACAAGTTAATGGTCATATCTATGGAGAAGCAAGGCTGCACATGGTACAAATTCATGTTTCTGAAGAATATATATTTATATGTTTGAGCTATAAAATACCTGTAATTGAACAAATGCAAGGGAGATATGTTTAATGCCCTACTGTGGAACATTCCAGGCAAAGAACTGACATCAAAGTAGCAGAGCGTCTACTTTAGGAGTTTCATAGTGCACCTTCAAGTTTGTTAAACTGCATTTAATTTTATAAAGTTGCTACAAAAATCATATTTTTTTCCATCAGGTTCAGCTAGTACATGCCCAACGTTGGTTAGATGTTGTCATAAGTTTCTTGATTAAACTTTATTTGAAAATATTTTGGGTGGGCATTGGGTATGGCCAGTTCCTCCATAGGAATTATATTGTCTGATTAGCCCCAAATTGGAAGTGTGCCAATGTGCGTTACTAACACTGAAGGGCTTTATAGGACAGCTTACAGCCTTCATAGGTAAATCTCCTCTGGTGCAGATCAAACCATATTGATTGAGTCTGATCACTCAACATAATCCCGTTTCCCTGTCTCATGGCCTATCTGCAACTGTGTCATCTTTAGCCATTAGCCCAGGAGAGCTTATTGAACCGAGCATCGAGAGCACCGAGAAGATAGATAGTGCAGAGCTGAAGGCCAGGACCTCCCACTGTGCTGTCGCCGGGGTCACATCTAGACTGTATGATCACAGACGCCATCTTGGGGTTGGGGTCATCATTGATAAGGCCGTCAGATGCTCTCAAGGGGATTCTGTGTCCAGTTCCAGAGCTGCTAGCCTCCACCTCTATTAGCGTGGGTCAGCAGGCCATAGGGATTACTGAAGTGGAGTAGAGCATATGGGGGAGAGGTTTACAATACATTTATAATATAGGCCAGAGAAAGCCTCAGTAACTAACTATATGACTACAATAATATAACAATAACAATATAAGGTGTAACAGTAGGTCAAGACATATTTTTATTATTAATTTTTACAACTATTTCATTGTTGGCTGTTGTATTGATTATATTTTCATCTGTGAAAAAAGCTTTATAAATACCATGTACTTACATCAGTAGCTTTTTATATTATCGTAAAGGCAAGCAGCTTACAGTACACAATTATGAAACAGGGTGAGGCATCAATAACTATCAGAGTAGGATGCAGTCGGTGGACCTGTGATTGCTTAATTACTGCTTAAAATCCTATATTATTTCCTATAAATTGGCTCTTGTGAGATTTTAGCCATGTTAGAATGTGGTTACCTCATCAAAAACACGCCTGGAGTTGTGGTTTGTTTAATTCACACGTTTGAATAATTGTGCATTAGTAGTCTGTCTACATCTCCAGAGCTCAAAATGCTTTGTTCAATGTTGTGATGTGATGAAGTGGTAGTTTTCAAGTTAACAGTTAACAAAGTGGAGAACATATTGTTTTCTGTTTGAGAGAAGAACTCATCCTAAATATGCAGGATTGTGTGTTTAAAAAGTGTGAATTAAACAAAACACAACTCTGGATATATTTTTGAGGAAACCACATTATAACATCAGAAAATAGCCTTTTAAATTCTTAATTGGTCCTACATTTAGTTACTCCAAAGTATGTCCCTTCTAGAATTTATTGCAGTTATCAGAGACATGTTCAAAGCACTGCTGAACTTGTGATAGTTTTACACAGTGTAATTGTTCTTAATATTATGATGCCAATATGATGTTATGTTGTTTTATTTCAGGTACACGACTACCTGCGAGGTAAACTGTGCTCCCTGTATGAAAACGACTGCATCTTTGACAAATTTGAGTGCGTCTGGAATGGATCAGACAGGTTAGTACAAAAACTTTGAAATGACCTCTTTATATTTCAATGTGTATCTGACAAAATTATATTCAGCCAAGTATTCACAAACTTCCCAGAAACATCATGCTATAATGGAGTTTTCATGGGTTTCAGTTATTCTTACATTTAGTTTTGCTTTGTGAAACCCATAGATAAGTATATGTTCCTGTTATAAAAATCATAACAGAAAAAAGTTACAAAAATACTTCCCTTATTACCTTTCTGTGTATAATAGCTCCTTAAAGGTACATTGTGTAACTTTTCTGGTGGAGAATCCATCAAAACCTTTTCTCCATAGAGAAGTTATTGCTTTGTTTGGAATGTTTCACAGGACTGTATTAAACCTTTCTATCTTCATGGAGACCAAACCAGACCAGGTTACAGGTCAGATCTGTGAAGGGGCTATCCAGAAAGGCTGTTGTTTTTTTCTAGGTATTTTTGAACTATAAAATCACCTGTAATTGAATAAGTGTAAGGTAGAGCTATTTAATGCCATACTGTGGAACATTCCAGGCAGAGCAATTGCATAGCCCTAGAAAAAAGCATGGTGGAGTGATGGATCCCTGTCCAAAAAGTTACATAGTCCACCTTTAACTTAAATTAACCTCTGTGCACTCTGTATTTTCTGTATACAGCGTTATAATGACCGGCTCCTACAACAACTTCTTCCGGATGTTCGACCGGAACACAAAGCGAGACGTCACATTAGAAGCATCAAGAGAAAACAGCAAACCCAGAGCTATTCTCAAGCCTCGCAAGGTAAACACAGCTGAGATAAATAAGACACTGCACTATTTCCCAAAATACAGTGTGGGAATTATGGATATGAATGCAGAAATGTATTTATCATTTTATTATACATACTGCTACTTATTGCTCCATCAGAGTTTTGTTACATCAGGTATAATGAAAATAAAAGTCATTAAAGGTCCTACATTACACAAAATTGACTCTTGTGAGCTTCAAGCCATGTTAGAATGTTGTTATCTCATCAAAAACATACCAAGAGTTGTATTTTGTTTCATTCACACATAATTATTATTAGTCTGACTATATCTCTAAAGCTCAAAATGCTCTGCTCCACCTTGTGTTGTCATGAAGTTGTAGTTTCCAAGTTAACAACTACCTATTTATCTTTAGTTCAGTAGAAATGGGCTATTCTAGGGCTGAAATTATCCAAATGATTCTAGTGAGGGTGCAGGTGTTTAAAACAGTGGAGCGCTTCTTGTATTACCATAGGACACCATAAGGTGGAACAGAGTGTTTGAGAAAAGAACTCACCATAAATATGCAGGGCTTTTGTGTTTGTGTGATTGAAACAAAACACAACTCTAGGTATCTTTTTGATAAGTAACAACATTATAACAGGCTCTTTAACAAATTGTGGATTTAGACCTTTTCTCTACAGGATTTAGCCAAGGTGTAATCTTATTCAGCACAATAAAGATGGAGCTTGAATAGCCTTATATTTTCTGATGTGAAATAGCCAATTTTTGAGTAAGTTTTTGGGACATTAACTTTAGCTAAACCTGACACATTTGACACACATCTCCTTATCTTCCAGGTGTGCGTAGGCGGGAAACGGCGTAAAGACGAGATCAGTGTGGACAGCTTAGACTTCAGCAAAAAGATCCTTCACACAACATGGCACCCACATGAAAACATCATCGCTGTAGCGGCTACAAACAACCTCTACATCTTCCAAGACAAGGTCAACTAAAAGGCCAAACTGCCCACGCTGACCCCTGACCTTTGAACTGGGACACTGGGGGAAAGCACATTTGGAAAATAATAAAGAGATGGAGTTTAAATGTACAATCCTTCTGCTTTTCCCAACGCTGCTAATTTTGGCTAATCGACTACTGAGGACTATCCACAGACTGAAACTGGTGCAGCCTGGAAACATTTTTGGGGAATTCCTCCAAAAACAAAAAGGAAAACGGACAGTGAATTTTAATTTATTTAACCAAGCAAACACAAAGGGGAAAGTGAATCCAATGCGTTTATGCAACAGAGGCTCGCTGCATGAATAATGTGTGATGTAGCAGCCACTTGGACCCTGACTCTAAAAGGGCGGATGTGGGAATATAGCACACAGAGAGACAGCCTACATGACTGTGGATGTTTGTCGTGTAGCAACAGCGCCCCCTATCTTTCAATCTGCCCTTCTGCACGCTCAGTGTTGAAGGCAAAGACAGCACAACTCAAAGACTCGCTGCTCCAAAAATGAGAAAGGAGACTGTTAATGTTTCAAATTGCCTGTGACAAAAACAATTACAGGAATTTTTGGAATATTGTGTGTTCCCTGTTCCCTGTAATATGAATGAAAGAAGCCAGATAAGGCCATTTGATTTGAAAATACCGTTGTTTTTAAGTTTGTTAAGAAGCTGTGGTGCCTTCTTTTGGTATGTTGTTGATCATGTAAGGGGTGGGAGGGAGGGGAGTGTGAATGTTTCAAATTGGCAAAAGTCATTTCATATTTTTGGTTCAATTTTCTTTCTTTATATGGTAAAAAAAAAAAAAAAAAACCTCAACAATACTCCGCTTTTAATGTCCAAAGTGGAGACAAAGTGCTTGGAGCAATGTAGTCCAATGATAGAACTGGCTACATGCTTGTGGGTTTAGAGGAGTACACAGCAGCTGATGTCAATACCATACAGTAGTTAGTTGATATCTTATTTGCATAGTGCTTAATATTACTTGGTAGATGGCAATTTCCATATACTTTGGTCAGGATGGTAGAATAGCTCTTTTGCATGCACTGGATCAAAATCACACTGTTTCCAATACAAATGAAGCACTATGCAAGTAATATACAGTCCTGTGCAGAAGTTTAAGGCAGGTACAAAAATGCTGTAACATATTTCAATGCTTCTATGGATATACAATCTGTTATATTTGTGTAATAAATATTGCTATTAGTAGAAATGGGTCAAAGGACTATATTTTGTAGTGAATACCAATTATTGTTTATTTCTAGCTCTATTTCAATTGATTATTTTGAGTATAGATCTAAAATTGAAACAAGTAACTACAATCATTTTCCTCATTATTTATGCGTATGAGAGGCCTTTGAGAGGGTTTGTGGCCCAATAGAAAGATAATACTCTGAACATAACTCTTGCCATTAACTTTTGCACAGATCTGTACATTGTCTACTGGTTATAAACATGTAGCCAGTTTGAAATGCTGTGGTGCCTGTCCACGTTTTACTGTATTTTGAGTCTAATGCCGAACAGTAGCAGGTTAAAGTTAAAGGTGCACTGTGTAACTTTACTGGTGGAGGGTCGTTATCTTGTGTCCACAGAGATGTTATTGCATTGCCTTGAACGTTCCACATTATGGAATAAAATGTATCTAAGGAGACTGTTTTTTGGCCCCGTCTTTCAAGGTATTTTTCAGCAATACAAATACCTGAAATACTGTGGAATATACCAGGCAAATACAGTAACATCTCCATGGAACAAACATATGGCTGACGCCCATCAGAAAAGTTAGACAGTGCACCTTTAGGTTTTAGCATCGGGAGCCCCCTGTTCATTTTGTGACAAAGGTCTAAACCAACTCTGTGAAATCAGGGAATTATTTTGTGTGATTCCTTTCGAACAGTAACTTCTTCTTCTTAACAACCTCCTTTGTGACTCTTCTAATTGAAACTTTTATAGCTGAGAATGTATTGAGATGCAAATGACTTACCATGCAGTCTTTATGCTCACTGGACTTTGAATAAAAAAGAATAAAGATGTGCAAGTTCAAATCCTGCTTCTCTGCCTTTCCCGGTTTGTTTTATTATCATGATTATCAGAGCGTTGCACACGGGTCAAGGGCGCCCTCATGTGGAGAAAGACTGTAATTATTAAGTGATCGTCATTAACTGGACACAGTTGGGGGTTGATTTGGTATTACACACACTCTTCTGGAGTTTTCTTGGTCTCAAATATAGATCGCACAAGGCAGAGCTGAGTAATTTGGGAATATTGTCCTTTTCTCTAATTTCCCTGGTTCTGGGCATAGACAACTTTGAAAATATTTATTCCTTATTAGCATCAAGATTATTAACAGTCACAGAAGGCAATTCTTAAGGATAGTATTTTATTATTTATATAGTTTAAATGTGAAAATGTTACAAATAATTTAACACTGTGTCAAGATTATTATTATTATTATTATTATTATTATTATTATTATTATTATTATTATTATTATTATTATTATTATTATTATTATTTTGGACAATTTCTTCACAATAATATGCAGCTAATTTCTAGAGCCGTGTTTGAATGTTTTTGTAAACTGCTGTTGTGACTTGTTAATATGAGAATGGCATTTTGCATCCATCTCAGAAGAAATACCAAAACTAAAGTATGTGAGAACTAAAAAAGGAAACAATGGTTCATTAAATTGCAAAACAAATCCTTGATCATACTTAAGCAGGATATAGGATGGGGCGCATGCATTTGTTTTTAAATCCTATATATGATACCTATGAAACATACCAAAGTGTTTCTGTACTAATCCCCAATTATTAACTTCATTCACAGATGCGTATTCTCATATTTTACTGGGAATATTTTCCTCACTTTCTAATTGGCTCCCTCGAGGCTGTAGTTGACGCACTGTTTGTCAGCTGGAGACATGAGCTGTCAATCACACTATGTCTTTATAAGTAACAGCCCTCAATCCTGTATCACAGTGTGTCTGAGAGGACAGACACAGGAACAGCTCTCACTACTTGTAATCGCTTTCAAATTTTGGACACTCCTCAATCTCTATCCAATCACATTTCTTGCTTTGGACACTTTCCAGAAGAAGATGGAACCTACTTTGGACTATAACACAACTACCAACACTTCTATTGACAAGTGGTCTCTCAATGGGCACCCTTCAAGTCAACCTCTCGACCAGGAGGAGCTGCGTGTCCTCGTCCCGTCCATTTTGGGTGTCATCTGTGCTTTAGGTGTGGCTTGCAACCTCACTGCTATGTTCATACTACTGTCCAATGCTCACAAGGGCAAACTTTCTCTCATCAACTCCCTCATATTCAACCTGATGTTTGCAGATGGGCTTGTTCTGCTGTTTTCTGTCCCATTCAAAGCGGTGTCCTTCTCCAAAGCAAGCTGGACTCTTGGTTGGGTGGTGTGCAAAACATCTGACTGGTTTCTCCACACATGCATGGCAGCCAAAAGCTTCACTGTTGCTGTTATGGCTAAAGCGTGCTACCGCTACGTGTCCAATCCGACCAAGCAAGTCAGTATCCATCTGGGTTCCATTGTAGTGGTGCTTTTCTTCATCTGGCTATCCTCTTGTTGCATCACCATCCCACAATGGCTATTTGAAGTTCTCCAAAAGGGAATCCAAGGGCTAAATTGTGTTTTCATTGTCCCACCTGAAGCCAGAGAATTCATGTCAGTCTATGTCAAAGCATACCCCCTAAGTGTCTACTGTGCACCTCTGAGTTTTGCGTTAATGTATTTTTGGAAAGCTTATGGACAATGCCAACGGCGTTCAAGCAAAACTCAAAATCTCCGAACCCAGATTAGATCAAGGAAGCTGACATTGATGCTTTTTAGTCTGACCGTTGCTATGGCGATCTTATGGCTTCCCCAATGGGTGGTGTGGGTATGGGAAAGACACCTCGCAGAAAAACAACTTGAAAATCATTTTTTCCCATCCCCACCTTTGCTACTGATTATCTCAGCTCAACTACTCAGCTTCTCAATGTCTCTAGTGAATCCTCTTATCGTGTTATCCTTATCGGAAGAATTTAGGGAGGGCTATAGGGGTCTGTGGAGACGCCTCACCCTAAGAAAGCAACCTCCCCCAAAAGCCAAACCGGGACCACACAACCCCACCTCCCTGAGATCTCCAAGTCCAAGGCCAGAAGTGTCGGTTGAGTCGTCACGAGAGAGGAGTTTGAGTCAAAGCATTTCTCAAGACCAGTTGGAGAAAAAGGGGAAAGAAGAAGAGGGGATAGTGCTGCCAGATGTGGAACAGTTTTGGCACGAGAGAGAAGGTGGGTCACAGACGGCAGAGAATGATCCAGTACCGTGGGAGCATCAGGATAAGAAGTGATTTTTAATCTGGACTTCAATTCAAATGTTTATTTACAATATGATAATAATTAGACTTTAAATCACTGGACTCTGATGAAAAGTGTTTCTGATTTTGAAGTGTGGCTTTGTGGATTTAATGTAGCAGCATTACTGAAAGGTATGTTCAGTATTTCTTCACTGTGAGCTTTTTAATGTAACTGACTTGCAAGACGGAAGATTCAGATGTTTTCTTTTTCATCAATACATTACCAAATTGTGCAGGTGAAACAGTAGTTAAACTTTTATATATTGTTCATATGTGAAATAAAAGTAGTAGCCTATGCATGTTTTCCTTTTCCATTTAAATAATCATGGAAAATAAATGTCAAATTTCTGTAATATTCTACTTGGCATACCTCCATAAGTCTGTAAATACTGCATCTTATGAAGGGCACTGTACGTTTCTTACTTGTATTTTGAAATTGTTATTAAAAATGTTGTTCACTAAATATTTATACATGGTTACCTTATGCATATATTTGGTATTTTATTTATCTTGCAATGAAATATTGTAAATATGATGTTATTGGTGTTTTTCAGTGGACATATTTTCAATAAATGTTGCTATAAAATCTGGTTTGATTCAGATGTGTGTAACATCTGTAAGTAAAATACTATGCTATGCGGGTCTGTAGCATGTCCTGTTCCTTCTGAGGGGGTAAATCAATAGCTTCAGCTGATGAGTCTGCTGAGTCAGAGGATAGGTCCCTGCTGACCCTGTATCATTATGCTTGTTTCATAAAAATATCTTTAACATTTATTAGCACTTTCAGTTGAGTCATTTATATAACTTAAGTATGTGACTTCATATGACCCTGCATTTAACTCGCTACAACAGATTGCACTCCTGTGGCATAAACACAACTGTTTATCAGCCAGTTAATAACAAAAGTACAACGATATTGGGATCAATATGTCTGTTACATGTAACAGTGACACACATCACCACTACTTTACAAGGCCATAAAAGTCAACCCAGTCCATGCATATGCTCTTAATTACATGGGTGGGATTTTATATTTAGCTTGAGCAAGATAAAATGAGATTAAGAAATTTTGTCAGTACACACCTCCAGTCTCCGGTTAAAGCTAACACCCCATGCCCCCCGCCCACATGACATTTACCTCTCATTAATCTTTTATAGTGACCTTTTACAGCCAGAGCCAAGTGCCTCAATCAGAGCTGCACTTAACTATGAACAAACTCCAGCCTCTGGGGAAGTGACCGGGCCATTAGGAAACACACAGTTTTTCGGACACAAGCAATTTTCTCACCTTTGCTCCAAAAATAGATTTATTGAAGGAGGTAATGGTCCAGAAATAATACATAAATAAATAAATAACATATGATTTTTGTAGTTTCCAGGGGCATAGATCAAGGCAGTAATTATGTATGCTAACTACTCAGCAGTTAACTACAATTTTTTTTGTTTAACTGCATATAATTGGAACTGAGCTGGAGAGACCCACTGTCCCCACATGTTACCAAAACCATCTGAACATATTTGTCAGATTTTGCACAATAATTAAGTTAAATCAAATAAATGATTTCATGTATTATATAATCTGTGTTAGCCAAAATGATTATGTTCTCATGGTAATTCCCATTAGCGGGCAGTGGACAGGTGCAGCTGAGTCTAGACCAAACTGACTGAGGGTGCAGATGAGTTTCAAAGGGATGCAAAGGCTACACTGTTCCATTAAGTGTCATTAGTTATCCTGCAACCAATGCAAACAAATATTATAAATGAGGTTGCACCCTTTTGCCACTCCTTTAGACTCAGGCCTGGACAGGTCTCAAGGCCAGACAACATTCACTCTCCTGTCCATTCAACAGAGACAATTTATATCAGTGGAAGGATACCGAGAAGAAAATACTTGCACCAGTGTGTTGCAAAAAACATGAGAGCTGATCAGGCCTATGAGTGTCAGTGTATTCCATTTATGATTAATAAATACTGTGATTTTTATTACATTATAGAAAACAGTTTTAGGTATATGCCAACAAAAAAGGGGGAAAGTAATTAAAAATGCTTAAACACAGTAGCCTATGAATTATTTTAAGATAGCTGCATTCAAAATCTATAGGCAAACGGGTGGCTGTACAAATCTCCATGTAACACCTTTGAAATGCACTACAACAATGCAGTACAAAGTAGATGATACAATGAAAGTCGTATCTGAACCATAATCAGCATAAATTTATAGATGCCACCCGTTGAGAGAAAGGATAGTTCTGTGATATTTCACTGTCCAACACTGTCCCAGATTTGAAGAGACACGTTTGGAAAGAGCAAGGCCTAAACGTGTGTCAAAACATCGTTGGCTTAATGAGGTCATTACGCACGGCAGGGGGCACTCTTAGCAGGTGAGCGCATCTCTTTACTGGTCTCCTGGCTCTGCGCACGTCCCGCTGTGTGTCACCCCTGTGTTTTTATCCTGCGCCAATCATCATGTCTAATAAATGAAACTCCGCGGGACGCTCGTGGCAGCTATCACTAATTATCCTCAGCGTGGGACTGCCCTGCAATTAAACCCGCATTCAGAACCATTGGCAGCAGCTAACGCCACTTCTCTCTCAGTGGCACAATTACACCGGGATCACCTGGCTCGTGGTTCATGGATAGTCGACCTGGGAGCGCTTAGGGGCTGGTTCAGGGGGTCTGGCCTTGGTATTTGAAGTCTTTGATTAGAATAAATCTCTGACGCTTTAATCTCAGGGAAACAGGAGCGATGCAAAGGGCAAAGATCATTCAGTAGAGACACATTTATTAACAGGGAACTTTGTATTCAGAACCCACTGTATCTGATATTGATCAAAATACACTTGCTGCTAGTTTAATGGTCCACTGTGTAACTTTTTGGTTGAGTGTCATGTCCATGGTAAATGGTAAATGGTCACATTTTTCTATAGCACTTTTCCACCTTCAAGGCACTCAAAGCGCTTTACAACAAGGAACCACTCGCCCATTCACACACACATTCACACACCAGTGTATGCAGACACTGTGGGCAAGGTGGGTTAAGTGTCTTGCCCAAGGTCTCAATGACAGCATTCATCTGTGGGAGCTGGAATCACACCAGCCAACCTTCACATCACCACAATATGACTTTAAACAGCTTTACCTTCATTCAGTGCATTCTGACTGTGAGCGTGGTTGCCTCTGCACAGATCTGACCTGTAACTTGTTCTGGTTTGGTCTCCATAAAGATAGAAAGGTTTATCACCATACTGTGAAACATTCCAGACGAAGCAATAGAAAGAAGCATTTGAAGGATCGTCCACCAGAAAAGATACACAATACACCTTAACACAGGAAAGAAGACCACATGACAAAAAGGTGTACACTTTATGATACATTCTAAGCGGTTCTGACTACAAATTATCTGTGGTTTGGTCCCATTCTAGTCCTAGTCCAGGTTTCATTATGGTTTCATCCCAGTTCTGATAGGTGTGTGTAGATACAAAGACACAAGTTTGATTTTACAGCATTTTCACTTTATTAAGTTCATACCATTAGCAGACACAGTGTTGCACAGTGCCCTGGTTTGCATAGGTTCAATACAAAAGTTAGATGGCATTCACTATAAAGAAGACAGTTGTAGGCAGTTACTTTGAAGAGTACCCTATAGGAGCCTGGTCAGCCAAAATTATTCAGTGCTACTTAAGCCTTATCCAGATTGAATGTGTTGATATGGATGGGGTTTCCAGTGGATGAATCACATACAGATGCAAATGGATACCCAAAAGGTGAAAAAGCAGAGGTGAATGAGTGTGGCTGACCAAGATACCTCAGCAGTAGCAAAATTTACCTGTACTACAATCATTGAGAAAAATAAGGTACATTAAAGCACTAGAATGCAGATGAAAACTGATCACTGATTGTCATGAGAAACTTTGAGATTCTATTTATATTGACAGTTTACTGATGAAGCTGAGACATGTGACAACGCCGTCTCTGATTAGCAACAAAGTGCATTACAATAAACAAAATTAAAATGTAAAAAAAAAAAAAAAGAAAAAACATCCCTTAAGTTTAACATTAATTTCCCCCAGTATTCCCAGGCTTGTATCTCATCCAAAACCTACTTACAGCATGCAGTTGTGGTCTTCCCTGATGCCATTACGCCCAGTTAAGACCCATTATTTTTCTCACAAAGGAAGTGCAAGCACCTCTTTAATTGCATTTTTTTTCTTAATATAAGATAGTTCCTTTCATAGCTGATGCTCTCATAAGGGCACCATAGTTAGTACATAGGCTACCCTGTAAACATTCTTCTTTATTGTGAATAAATAGGACCAGGACAGCCTAAACTGTTGATTCACAGGAATATGTTCACATTTAAAATAAAAAATTTAAAATAGTAAATGGAACAGCATGAATCTGAAAATTAAACACAAAAACAACTAAAATTATAGTTAATTCCCCCCATTCACTAAAAGCAGTTCAGACATTATATCTACTGCAGTGTGTCAAGTATTTCACACGTACAATGCCACATTTACTTGGTCACATAAAAAGATTTGAGGCAGTGCATCATTTGATGTAATCTTCAGTGCATCCCTGAGGTCCTGGTTTAAGTCCTAAAAATACAAAAATATTTAATACACAGCGCTTAATTAATCAGGAAAAAAGGTGGTTGTAAAGCAGATCTGTTATATGATTGTATTACTCTGGTAACAGTATTTTAATAATTATAAAAAATTATCAAGACTCTTTAATAATTGGTACAATTATTTAACATGATGTGAGTGGTGTTTTACCTTTTTGGCTTCTTCTGTCCAGCAGAGGGAGCCAAAGCTGCTTTCTTCTTTTGCAGCGCATCACTTGTAATTTCGCCATTTGACACTTTTGGTTGCTCCTAGAATAAATAAATGAAATAATAATAATAACATATATATATATATATATATATATATATATATATATATATATATATATATATATATATATATATATATATATATATATATATATATATATATATATATATATATATATATATATATATTTAATTAAACTCATGTATAAAGTAAATGATGTACTATACATTTTAAATGGGTCCTGTACCAATTTCAAATCAAGAAATTATCTCTGAAACTATCTCTTGTAGATATTTTTGTAGCAAAGAAGGAACTGTAGTAGGCGAAGGTGTAGAGCAAGAGCAATACAGATACAGATATTGCTGGTTAGTTGATTAAAAATAAAGCATTGCTAGCAAACACAGGAAGCAACCACCTACATGACTTTGAGGTATATGCTTTATACCTGTTCTATTCTTAGCTGTTACTGAGTTTAGACTACAGACCAGTTTAGTCTTGTTTGGTCCTGTTCTAGTCCTAGTCTAGGTTTAGTCTCATTTCATGTGGATACAAAGAAACACAAAGAAGTTTCATTAAAATAGCAGTTTAAGTAATGGCAATGGCAGTATATCCGATTACAGCAGTTATTATTTTAAATATTCAAATATTTTATGTACTTACTATAGTCAATTTGTTTCTAGGAGTGACAGGACATGGTGGTGGAGGTCTGTTAGGGGGGTCTGGTCTGGGTTTAGGCCCTGACAGAGCTGCTGGCTTGGGGTTTGGAAGAAGGGAAGGAGGCGGGCCAGTAGGAGGCCGAGGAGCTTGAGTTTTCTTTTGAGTTGATTTAACAGAGATCTGAGCATCTCCTTTAGTTTGACTCAGCGAGGGTTTATCTGTCACATACGCAGGGACAGGAGGGGGCTTCACTGCTGGCCGTACAATAGACCGAGATGCACAGGACGGACTGGCCCCAGGAGATGACCTTCCCTGGAAAAAAAATTCAAAATATTAATCTATATTCACATATGTTTGATTCATATTTGGCTATTGAAGTGGTCTCTTACCAACAGATCTGTCTCCTGTTTCTTCAGTAGGAATGTTGGATTAGCATGGCCACTCACATGGCTGCTGTCATTCAGGGGCTTCCCGTCAACAGGCACTGAACAACTGATCACAAACAAAACAAACATAGTAAGAAGGGATAGAGAATATAATATGTTTTATACCTTATAATATTTCGAGATCTGTATTTCCTCATCATAATCTTCTTTTTCAGTTTAATGCGGCCTTCTATAAATTCAGTAGTGCATATAGTCATGGGATTCAGCTAACTTTTATAGGTGAGATTTTGAGACATTTTCAAAAGTGCATCTGTTACATGATTATCAGTAAAACTAACCAACAGTATTATAATCATTGTCAAATACATTTTTTACAGTATTTCTTATCTCACAAAGGTGTTCTTATTTGGCCTTGTCTACATTAAATCTCTGTAGTGTACCTTGGTACTGGAGGTGGCGTGGATGTTTTCAGTGGGCGGAGCTTATGTTTATAGCAGCACCACAGTCCAGTGGCAGCCACGACAAAAAGCACCAACGGAAGGATCACGACGACCAGCAGGAGGTTATCTACTGGGCACATTCAAATTAGAATTAGTCTATCAAATTATTTCACATTTTTAAAGAGAGATGTGACACTGACTGTTGCTGATGACTGGTCCACTGTCCACACTCCCTCCTGAGCCTCTCTGGTCACACAGAGGAGGAGCCCAACCCGGGTCACAGTGACAGTTGTGGTTATTGTTGCAAAACTGAAAAATATATAATACATAATAGCATTATTATATCTGTGATTTACTCATCTTTTTGTACATATTATTATGGGATGTCGGTGGGTCAAGCCTATCAGGTTTTGTAACAAAAGCAGCTGGGGCAGTGTTGACAGTCAGACAACCGTTAGGAGATTTCCCCGACCAACCAGTCCCTTCTACATTATGCTCGATATATATATATATCTTATTTTACCTGAGATAAATAATAGAAATGTGTGCTGTTTCTTGATACTATGTGCTATTTTTTTCTTCTTCTTTACTCAAAATCCATGTTTGTTTTGACACTGACTATGAGCTTCTCTGATTGCTAAACTGCCTGTCAGTCAAACTAGTGGAAACAGGATATGGTTCTAGACCTGGACATCTTTGTAAAGTTTTGTGTCAGCGTGTGGTCTTGGCTGGCCAGGCAAAATTGAGAAAATACTCTTTATTTATTCTCTCAACTCAAAAATCAATGTGGACAATGAAGGAAAGCAATAATAAATCAGGGAACCCAAAACAATATGGAAAATATATATCTTATGCACATAGCAGTGTTAACTATGACTAGGTATGTTGTTATCAAGTTACATACCTTAGAGTTACATACCAAAGATTTTGCAATTATATTTTGCAATTTCCTTTGGGATCAATAAAATATCTATTCATGTATCTATCTATCTTATACAGGTTTAAATAAAGTCACTGTCAACATTGCCAGCAGGCTCAGAGCCAGCCCCTTCCTTTAGTGAGTTGTGCACATATAGGAAATTACCCCATGTCCGTGGCACTTGGCATTGCACTCAGCAGTTCTGAGAAATGATGCATTGCGGCACACTCCATTAAAGCAAATCTGTTAAATGAAAAAGTAAGAAAGTTTATAGGGATGGTAAAAATAGATGGATTCAATGCCTTTTGTACAATAGAAATTTCCATAACATAAACTGCTAATGGTTCAGATCTGCTTTACCGAGTCTTCTCCACACTTGGTGCCCGTCATGACCAGCCCGGGGTCCAGAGTGTCTCCTTGTGGGTCCTCATCTCCCTGGGTAACTTTGTACACATGAGTCCCCATACACAGGAACTTCTTAGTGCCAATGGTGACACTGGTCTCTATACGGACAGCACTGGTCTCCAGCGGCTTAGTGGCTGAAGAGACGCACTGGATTTTCCCACATTTAGCATCCCTAGAAGATAAAAAAAAGAGTTATAGATAATAATAATAATAATAATAATAACTATTATTATTATTATTATTATTATTATTATTTTAGGTATATAAGTGTATTTAGCACCAGAAAAAAACTGTTTCAGTATATTAGGTAGGCCAATCAATTAGGGTTTATTGGCTAGACTATACATTGACCATCATTGATCCATAGTGTCGTATAATGTTTAAGCTTTCTGACTGAATAAAATACAGAAACAGTTATAATATATTTGGTACCTTTCTGACAAAATATGCCTGTCACTCTCTGCATCGGTATGTGCTGATGCGTGCAGAGAAATTTCTAAAAAGTCCCGATGTAAGTTTTCTGGTGGAAAGTTTGAAACATTCTATTGCCCATGGAGATGTGGTTGGTAAATGAAAGATAATTTATACATATACTGTGCAACTTTCCAGGCAAAGCAATAACACTCACTACTTTCATAGACAAAGTATCAGTAGTAGCGCTATCATGAATAAAATGCATTTCTGCTTTGGAATCCAGTGCTCTTTGTTTTAGTACGTGATTTATAAACTTTGTCCCAAGCATGTTGAAGCTGGGTACCATCTGAAATCTACTCAAATGTTTTACCTTACCTATCTGTGCATTTCCTGTATTTCCCATACATATCTTTGCCACAGTTTCCGTACATGTCCCCAGCTTCATTCACCTTCTTGAAAACACAGGTCTGGAGCCGGACGACCATCTATCACAAACAAAAGGGTGACACATACAGAGATAAAAGCTTGATTAATCGTGCAGATTCACAGTGTAGTCACAGAACAGGGCCCAGATGGCACAGCTCACTGCTCTGAGTGGCTCTTGTGGCCTCTCCAGGGAGGTGCTGCCACTCTCAAATCACATACACCAACACTGTCCAATAACAATGCTTCTTCTTTAAAACAAATGTCACTGTAAATACATTGTTGCAGGCAATGTTGAGGAGGTCTGCCTTCAGGCCAAATAAGATTTAGGTTTGTAGAGATGCAAGCTCGCTCAAAGTACAGACTTTTTTAGTGCAATAAAAACATCTAAATGAAACAAACAAACATGCTTTAATTTGTGTCTACATTTGGTTAAAAATTTACATACTGTGGCTTTAAATATTTACCAATTTTGATGTGCTGTGTAAACATGAACACACCCTACAATGGCACACAGGGTTTATCTAGAACACTACAAAGACTCCATTATTAAATCCAGTAACTGATAAAGAAAATATAAAATATAAACTATGAAACTCAAACTGAAAGTGGAAAGATTATAGGGCTTTAATGTTCTGGAAGTAAAGACAGCTTTTCTCAAAATCAATGGTTTATAGATTTCTCCATTTGATCCAAACACAGTGTCTACATCTGTACTGTAAGTCACACCACCCCTGATCAATACATCCACACACACACACACACACACACAAACACACACGCTGAGTTTCCATGCTTTTGGGGATGTTATATTGACTTCCATTCATTTCCTGGAGACTGATCCAATCTTTAAGGTCCTATATTACGAAAAATTTACTCTAGTGAGCTTTAAGCCATGTTATAATGTTGTTTCCTCATCAAAAACATACCCAGTGTTGTGTTTTCTTTCATTCACACATTTTTTTAATAACCCTTTGTTATTAGTCTCTCTACATCTCCAAATCTCATAACGCTCAGTTCCATCTTGTGAGGACATGTAATGGTAGTTTTCATGTTAGCAGCTACCTTTTTACATCACAAGGTGGAACAAAGTCTTTTCAGCTTGACAGAAGAACTGAGCCTAAATATGCAGGGTTTGTGTGATAAACATGCGTGATTGAAACACATGAGGAAACAACACTATAACATAGATCAGAAAATAGTGTAATATGGGCTTTTTAACTATGCAGATGATTTAATAATAAAGGATTCAGGTCTTGGGGATCTGATTTTTGTCCCCATAAGGAAGACAGGACCCCCATGCATTCAGTGTGTATACAGATTTTAGTCCCCACAGTGTGACAAATACTCGCCCCCACATACCCACTCACCTTTGCCCCAGAGAGATTGACACTGCTGCTCCAGAGTCAGGCACATCCCAGTGTAACAGTAAGCCCCTCCCCCTGAACACATAGCTCCATCCATCAGGTAAAAGTTAGCGGGACAAGATTCAGCTTTCCCATCACAGTATTCCGGGAGGTCACATGATCCGGAAGCAGCGCGGCACAACACCCCAGGGCTCTTCAGCTTAAGGAGAGAAAGAGGAGTAGTATATGAAACAATGAGCAGAAAGTGTAACTAAACTTAAAGGTGCACTGCGCAACTTTTCTGTTGGACGGTCTGCTATCTGCTTGTCTCCATGGTGATGTTATTACTTTGCCTGGAATGTTCGATGGTATGACATTAAACATATCCATCTAGCATGTATTCATTACTGGTGTTTTTATTGCTCAAGAAAACAATAATTCCTTCAGTGAATAGTGACGACTCTCCATAGATCTGACTCGTAACGTAGCATAGTGCTGTAACCTGCTTGTCTCCCTTGTGATAGAAAGATTTAATTTATACTCTGGAGCATTCTAGACAAAGCAATAACATTTCTAATGGAAGGATGTTCCACTAGAAATGTTACGCAGTGCACCTTGAATAAGGTTGCTTACAATTTGTGTACAAAGAAAGTGAAGCAATTTTGTATCCATTAAAAAAAAAATTTAATCAGCAGTTCCAAACACTTTATAAGAACAGACTCATGAAAGTATTGATCAGTTTAAAGCATCAATTACAAATGACAATCACTACCACGAAAGTGACTTGCTGAGGTAAACCAACGTGAAATTATGTATTGGTTTTTAGAATCTAATTAAATCAAAAATAATTAGAGGATTATAAATTTCATATTATAATCCTAATTTAATACGGACTACAGATGCAAATTAGCACGAGAGCGTCAACCTGGTACAATGTATCTCTACTGTTAAGGTTAATGTATATTGTGCACTGTCCCTGTCTCATTAAATAAACTAAACTTAACATACATTCATTTAAATCTAAAATACCTTTAATTACATTCACTACTTTTAGCCTATGTGATTTTCTTTGCATTACCTTGCAGTTGTCACAGCAGACGCCATGGGCACATTCAGCTCCAGCTTTCAAAGTGCAGTTGTTGGCGTTGCAGCATGGACTTGTACACTCCTAAAAATCACAATAAACTAGTTAGAATTAATGGTGCTCTATGTAACTTTTCTGATTAGGGGTCCACTACTTGCTTGTCTCTGTGGAGATGTCATTACTTTTGCCTTGCCTGTGTTCCTCAGGCTTACCTATCTTACATATATTAAATTACAGGCATATTATTTCTTTAAAAATGTTTAATGCCATTTTGTTGAATCTAGACAAAGCAACAGTAACATCTCCATACAAGCAGGTGGCAGACCCTTCCCCAGAAAAGTTAGTGCCTATTTAAAGGGGCCATATTGTGCTGTTTTCTGATCAATGTTGTTTCCTCATCACAAACATACCTAGAGCTGTGATTTGTTTCATGTTTAACACACAAATCCTGCATATTTAGGTTGAGCTTGTCTCTCAAACTGAAAACACTCTGCTCCACCGTATGATGTGAAGTCTTCCACATCACACCAACTTCCAGCGTGTTTTTAAACTCCATACACATTCATTAGAATCATTTGGATAATTTTAGCCCTGGAATTGCCAATCTCTACTGAACAAAAGGTAAAAGGTAGACGGTAACTTGAAATCTACCGCTTCATGACATCAAAAGGTAGAACAGAGCATTTTAAAGCAATAATAAACAGTAACTCAAATGTGTGTAAATGACACAAAATACACCTCCATGTTTGTTTTTGAAGAGGTAACAACATCATAAAATGTCTTAAAGCTCACAAAAGTCAATTTTGTGTAATATAGGACCATCAATATTTGCCAGCATTAATATTTAATATTTGCCAGCTAAAAAATACCCATAATTTGTGACTGACCTCTTCCTCCCCGCAGTCGCACTCCTCTCCCTCCTCTAGGTACCCGTTCCCACAGCGCTGGCCTCCGTACATGGCTCTGGTGTTGGGCAGGTTAAACAGACATTTCCCACCTCCAGAGTTCAGGTAGTTCTTGAGCTCCTTCATGTTACAGGCATTGAACACTTTTGGAAATGGATGCCTGGGTCACAAAGATACACACATTTGTCCAGTGGTCCTGTTTGCTGGATGTCTGGGAGATGAATAGTTGTTGTATTTTTAACTTACCCAGTGGCAGCAGCCATGATGCATCCCCCGTCCTCTGCTTTGGCCTGGCAGCACCCGGGAACATCATGACTCATCCCAAAGTTGTGTCCCATCTCATGAGCCATCGTCGCAGCAACACCAACAGCCGACTCTGAGTGGTCCTGTGGAAGACATTACTTTAGAATGAGTTCAAATAAAATAAGAAAGTATATATCATATGTGTACATACACAATTTTTAGATACAAGAAAATGAAAATGTTTACAGTGAAACATCTGTAAATATGACAGAGATTAAGGGAAAAGAAGTAGAAGAAGTAAGTTCCCATTTATTTTCCCATAGACTTCCAAAATTTAAATATTAAAAGGTGACTTAATGTAACAGGGACATACTGTATTTAAAGGTGCAGTTTTTGGTTGAGGCTCCATCACCTCCTTGTTTTTATGTATAGTCATTTCTCTGCCTAAAATCTTCCACAGTATGACATTAAACATTAAACCTTACATTTATTCAATTACAGGCTTTACTGGCCTGATACCTTAAAAATACCGTACAAAACAGGTCTCCATGAAGATAGAAAGGTTTAATACCATACTGTGAAACATTCCAGACAAAGCAATAACATCGCCATTCAGAAAAGCACAATTACACCTTTAATTAATCCTGAGGCCAATCCAAAAATATATACGATTAATTAATGATGGGGAGTTAATCTGGATTATTCAATTGCCAGTGGTCATTTGTTTCCTTACTGTATTGACTCCTCCAGACTGGAAATCGGAACACATGGCTTTGAGCGGTGCCAGTCCGATGGTGGTGCCCTGGAATGATTTCCCCCTGGAAACATAAATCAAGCTCATCATTTGCTTAAATTGGCCATAAACCTCTGTCCCTGAATCTGAAGGTGGACAGCAGAAAGATAATGTAATAAGAAATGCAATAAGAAATAATGGCACTTACGTAATGAGCTGTGCATTGTCATTGGGGAGAGAGCGGAGATTCTTGCCTCTCCAGGACAGGAAGGAAGCCAGGGTGCTGTGAGGGTTATCAGACACCTTGATCTGGTCCTGACTGGTCCACACCTCCAGACCAATTAATGCCACTCGAATGTTCAAGGCTTTGTAGTACTGGAAATATCAATATTTAAAAGGAAACTGAAATTGGAGCTTCTGGAAAGATATAATGGACCAAAAACCCTGTATGGTTGATGGTGGTAAGTCTATGTGTATAGGTTTATATTCTGAAGTTCACATTAACTTTCACTTGTATTATAAGAGAAAAAAGTATAGATTTTGTCTGTCTGGGGCTCTTGTAATAGCAAAGTTGTTTTAAATATTAGCAGGTAAGTATTATCGGTATTAATAAATCCTATGGGCCCCATTAAGAAGCTAAGAACTACTTGAGGGTTATTCTAATTATAAAATGTACTTTCTAAACTATGAACTAAAACATAAAAAAATCTGTATTCATGTAAAATATATAGTTGATTATCATGTATGGGTTGGATTGTTGTTGAATTTTTATATTTTTAAATATCTTGTGCACTATTCAGCTTTGCTAGAAGATCTGCCACCTGCTTCTTTGCATGGAAATGTTATGCTCGTAATGTTGCACAGTATGACATTACATTTATATATTGCCATGGAAACAAGTAGGCGACAATTCCAATCCAAGTCCGATCAGTGGAGAATGCATGTTTGTTTCATTATTAAAACACCTGTAATCGAATAACTAAATAAACATTCCAAGCAAACGAATAAAGTCTCCACACAGATAAGCAGGTGTCAGACCCTTTACTAGAAAATGTTACGTAGTGCACCTTTAAACATTTTTTGAAATTTACATTGTTACCTTGTCAACCAAGTTAGCTGCTTCCAGTAACTTCAGTTGTGTCTTCTCAAGGCTACTCCCATGCTTCTCAAACTAAAAACGTTAGAAGCCACATCAATTAGAAACTGTCACACCCAGAAACGGTTCATCACACCCAAAACACCAAAACCTCAAAAAGAAAAATTCTGCCTCTGCAAAGGGAAACCAAAGATCTGAATCACGTCTATAACCACACTGAATGTTCAAGGCTAATTTAAAATATGATTCACAGCTATCCCCATATGTTTTACAGAAAACAGTTAAGTCTAATATAGTTTATGTCATTTAAATGAAAATAAAATAACACATGTAATTTTATAGCACTTTTTGGATAGTCAAACATGATTCATAAGAGGGGAAAAATAGGTGCCAGTGTGAACAGGTATATTTTTAGTAATGTCATAAATTTCTGTAGTCCAAGTTCCTTGGGGATTAAAGGTCCTATATTACACTAAATTGACTCTTGACTGTTGTTACCTCCTCAAAAACGAAGCTGTGTTTTGTTTCATTCACACGTGTTTGAGCAGCCCTTTATTATCAGTCTGTTTTAGAATGCTCTCCTCCACCTTATGATGAAAGGTTAATTTTCAAGTTAACAGCTTCTTTTAATTTTAGTTCAGTAGAAATTGGAAATTCCACAGCTGTTACCCAAATGATTCTACTGAAGGTGTATGGAGTTTAAAAACACAGTAGAGTGCTTCCTATATTACAGCATGACATCACAATGCAAGGTTTGTGTGTTAAACATGTGTGAAGCAAATAAACACAACTCCAGGTCTGTTTGTGATGAGGACACAACATTAGAACAGAGATCAGAAAATAGTGTAATATGGGACCTTTAATTACATTCTAACAATGAGTTTGGGTCATAGACAATAATAGATAATTGGATTACAGCTGGTTTAGTAGAGAGTGGGAAGGGGGGAAATAAATTGTACACTTTTTTAATGGCGAAAAACTATATAAACAAAAAACAATGTAATTAAAAAAAGCAACCCGGATACAACGTCAGTAGCATTAGCAAAAACATAGTGGTTAAGTTGTTGGAGTAAACCACAACAGTGAATATTTTAGAGGGGATGACTGCATGTTTATAGTCTCAAGTAGATAATAAAATGAACCTTTGTTTAGATTAAATGCTGAAGATACATTAAACAATGTTAAGATCTATAAACATCTACAAATACAGGCCCCCACTACTGCAATATAAAACAGTGTAATTAAACACGCCCTTGTCTGGTGGAGTATTTTTTCCGGAGGGTCCTTACCTCAGCTCTGTCTGCCACAAGCAACAACTCCACATATTTCATATTCTGATTAAGGTCTCTTTTTTTCTACAAAACGAGACAGGAAAGGTCAAAGGTGAATTATGGGGCTATTAAAAATGTCTGTCTCAATATTGACGGCGGGCATGTCCTCTGTCTGCTCACCCTTTTGTTGTGGGGTGACATCATGCTGTAGATAAAGTCGTTAAGACCCCCCTCAAGATCTTTGTGGTTGCCATGGTGATGCAGACAGTGACCTGTTTGGAGATGGAGGCTGTCAGCTCTGAAGACAGCATGTTGTTGTTGCTTTTGTTGGCTGTCATTGTAAACAGGAAGCGGCTCAACCAGGTAGCTGACGCTGGCATTTAGGCAAACTAGTCCCCTGGGAAAACAAGGCATATATACAAGGGTTCCATCTAATAATAAGTTTAAATGATCAATATCAGTCGATAGTGCTTGCGGGTGTTCATCACGAAATTACGCAAAGGACACTGGTTTCAATTGAATAGTGTGTATGGCAGCACTTGGGTGTCAAATGCTAAAATGGGATCAGAACTTAAGTGCTGTGACAGCTAAAAGTGCAAATAATTTAAACTATTAACCCCACTTAGCGCAATGGAAATTCTGTACATACAGATAAAGGAAAAAGACATTTTACATTCAAACATATTCAAGACATAAACTAAGCAAGCAGAGGCTGCATATTGACTAGTGACACACTTTAATTAAATATATTTGACAAAACTTATAAAAACTATATTTATGTACACCTATACCTGTATAAATACATGGACTTATTCATTCTATACTTATAGATGTGTTTTAGACATAATATTATTATTTATTGCTTCCTAGAATAGCACTGTTTTATTTATTTCTCCAAAGCTGTATTTAGTAATGTTTTCCAGGTGTCAGCATAAATAGGCTAGTAAACATGTATAAAGACACAAAGCTGAGTAAAACACAAAAGAAAATGTATACATACAAGTATACAAATACAAAACCAACCAGATGACCTAGTTTCAGTTAACATGCACAAAACTACAATATCTCACAGTTTATTTATATTATATTTATTTATATGATTTATATTTAAAATGATGCTGAATGATTGATTATGCAGGCTTGGGATTGGCACAAATGTGTAAGTACTGCTTAAATTACACTAACAAGACAAATCATTTATTTATTTAACCAGGAAGAGCAATTAAGAACAAGTTCTAATTTGGAATGATGACCTGGATAATCTACAGTCTAATAATTTCTGCATGATTGTAAACAGAACTTATGGTATGTGTACATGATTTTGTCTCTGGCACAGACTTATGTTTTGCTCAGCTGATGTGTGTAAACCAAGACCAGCTGAAACAAATGAATTCTTGTAGCCTCTGTACAAAAGCAGTTGCCAATTCACAAACACACAATTATCCACGAAAGCCGAGGGTCAGACAGCTGTGGGGAACATCTGCTGAGGTCAGACGCCCACTTGGAAACCCTTGCTGTGTTTGCATGTCTCGGGACAATCTGAATTAATAAGTGTACTCCTCCACACTTACAGCAATGAATCTGCTCTGTACAAATAAACCATGGTTGTCACTGCCGTGTTTTTGCCTCTGTGTCTCTATCAGGAAGAGTGGACCCATTGAACCAGCACTGAGCCTATGACCTACTAACCCACTGGACAGCACAATACACTACACTGCACCATTCTTTCCTGTGCTATCTTCACCCTGCAAATGACAAGTCAAGAGGAAGGAGCACTTTTAGAAGTTATACTCTATCCCACACAAAAGCCAGAGGAGTCTCTGTGTCCATCCCAAATATGGATAAATGAAAAGGGCATACGATGTGTATATTCATGTATTCACTGTTATCAAAGTAAGAGCCAGATGGTTTGCAGTGGGTCCCTCAGAAAACACAAAGGTGTGTTCATAATTAGTGATAGTATGTTTTATATATGTTAGTGCTTTGCCTGTAATGTTCAACAATATAACATTAAAATCTCCATGGGGACAATCAACACTCACAGTAAGAGTGCACTTTTTAATCAATAAATGCAAGGTATATGATTTTATTTAACATTGACAATGACATTTTTACAGAGATAATCAGTTGGTGTACACTCCACCAGAAAAGTTATACTGCACTTTCAAGCATTATAATTATTTTGGCACTCAGTAAAATTAAAACAAAAAAAAACTTAATTTCAAATAATTGTAACTTGTTGTGCTTTCTTCTTGTCTAAATATGAGAATAACATAGCAATTTTTTCCTGTTAAACTGTGGGTAATAAATGAGCTACTCTCGTCATTTTGCCAACTTTAACAAAATGGAAGATGCTGAACCTCAGCAAAAGCAGTTATTGTTTAGACTCCGATGCTTTGCTAATTGCTGTGCAGCCATTTTTTTTTCTTATCTTGTGTCCTGAAATGCTGGCACGTCATGGTGAAAATAATGAACAGAGGCTACAACTTGGACATATTGTTGTAAACATTGTGTTATCCAGATAAATCACAACTGTCTGGTTTGCACAATCTTATCTACGGATTACTCCCTTTGTGCAGAGATAGTGTAGGAATAGCTCAAGTCTGCATATTCTTTGCAATTTTTTTCTTTCCCAACACTGAAACCAGAAAGTTTGATCCTTTTCTAAAGTTTTATGGAGAAGCTAGACTTTATACTTGAGGGACACTTCACCCAAACTTCTGCACTGCTGAGATTCATCATCAGAATATATTTTTATAATACTTTTCTTACCGAAGTCCTGAGCAGGTGCTAACGACAACACTGGATCCCTCTATTCCTTCAACTTTCCCATGGTAGAAGCAGTGTTCCTGGAAGATAAAAGAATAATAAAAATCATATTTCAACTCACCAATCTTCACAAAGCTATTACGACACAGTTTCTCACAACCTTCCTTGCATGTGTTTTCTATTATTTGTTATCTTCTCTACTTACTCTACTTGGGACGAATACAGCATATAAAAAAATGTATTTAGTTACAGAATACTGAATACCTTCAAATGTATTTCATATTCACGTATTCTGCTGCATAACTCAATCTGAGTACTATATTTTGAATACTTGGAATACTTGAAGGAGTACAAAAGCTTTATGTATGTTTATACCATTTGTTATACATTTATTTATCATTAGCTAGAGAAGAAAAAAATCTCACTTTCACTCACCACAAGAGCAATGTTTTTCTATTTTTCTGTCTAATACCCTTTGGTTTGAGGTCTAAACTGTGTGATCAAATATTACAATGTGTTCTTTGATTTTAGGAAAGTAACTGTATTCTTAATAGCAGCAAATGAAACAGTAACAGTATTTTGAATCTTCTTTGTCTAAAGTATCAAAAAGTCAGATACTAATCAATACTAAAACTAGTATCGAATCTAGATACAACTGTCTAAAGAAAGAGTGTTTTTAATCATCATTGTGGTTATTGAGTATAGTCTATTTCTTGATGTCAGAATTGAGTTTGAAATTTTAGTATCATGACAACACTATTCTGAATACATATTTTCGGTACATGTACTTAGTTACCGTACTGGGCCCCTATAACTCCATCAAATCTTTGACTCACATCTTTGCCAGGAGCAGAATACATGCGGGTTCCATCAGGGCTATACCATATTTCCTGATATCCTGGGGCCAGCAGCTGCCTACAGAGAAAAAAAAAACAAAGCAAAGTTAGATTTTCAAGAAACATATGAAACTCCTCACTGAGCAATGACACAGCAGAGTAGCATAGCACATATAAAATGTTTGAAATCTGCAAGGAAGATTGCAAGCATATTCTCTGCAGCAGCCAACGCTCATAAATCATTCAAAGAGACTGAAGGACAACTCAAAACCAGGCAGCTTTAAAGATTTAGAAGAAGATCTACAAAGATAATGTTTCTGTGTTTTAGTTCAAGAGGAATGTGGAAACTTGTAGTAATTGACTGCATGTGCACTTTTAATGGGAAAGGCAATAAGTTGTGTTCATGTGACTTCTACCTATCATGGAAATTACTGTATCAACCAGGAATATAGTAAAGGGAATATAGTAACTTAAATGATATTTTTGGAACTCAGTATTTTTATGTAATTTTTCTTTGAGGCAACAGAAGCTCAGCTGGTTGACTGTTTGTCCACTGATCCTGCTCCCACAGACACTTAACCCATCTCACCCCCAGTGTCTGCGTACGGTCTGGTGTATGATTGTGTGTGTTTATGGGTGAGTGGCTCTGTGATGTAAAGTGCTTTGAGCGCCTTGAAGGTGGAAAAGCACTATATAAAAATGTGACCATTTACCCTTTATGTTTTGTAGTACAATACAACTTGAGCAAGAGGATTGAATAAATAACTTCAGTGATTCATTACTGACTCTAACCACTTGCATGTTTTATTGTGCTGTCTATTTTTTACAGCTAATTCTTTATGATAGACATTTAGAAAAAGGTTTACTGAGATTATCTTGCTTTAGTTTAGGGTTATTGTGTCATCAGCATATTAGACAATTCACACATTCTAGGCCAATCTGCATGATACAATAACTGTTCCAAAGTTCAATGTCTTCTCTGTACCCAAATTAAATATAATAAAAAATATTTTTGGAGTACATAGTGTCATAAATGGTACATTTACACAGACATAATTGTACAAAAGGCTGAGATTAATATTAGAATTCTGTGGATTCAGTTCTTAATAAAACAGACTCTTCCACAGTGTTACGTTGGCCTCTCCATCTAAAATGATGCAATCAAATTCTAAAAAGTGAATGAAACATATTTTGTTTAATGGGTATCATTAGCATGACTAAATGTAAGATTGGAACAATGCATTTTATCTTAGGCCCAGCCACAACATCCCAGTTTGATTAAATGTCTTTGGCTGCCTCAGGCAAACCTCCGTCATCCCTCTGGCCTAATATTTATATCTCAGACAGATGCTTGTTTTCCTGTCTTTCTCCTCCCAAACTTCGGCTCAAACTTTTCTTCCTGTTTTCATTCATAAACTCAGTCCAGATCACAGCTGGTTCATTTCGTGTCTGCCTGTCACATAACACTGACCTTAAACTTCAGGGCATCAACATGGATATGTATACACCAACGATATATACAATTTTACAAAGGTCCACAGTAGAAGTAGCAAAAATCATTTGCCACTAGGGCTGAGCGATTTGGGAAAAAAATACGGATTTTTCTGACAAGCATTGCAAAATTATGGTACTTCAGTAATTGTAGCCTTGGCGATTTACCAGTTATGTGCATTTAAATAGCAATTTTGATTTGATTGTGATTCATCTTAAGTTTAAACTTTATTCGCCACTCAAGTAAAAGTCATTGTAACATGCCCAGTCAACAGTGGGATGGTCATCGGGCATTCTCATACTTCACAGACTTCATATATCACATAGCTTACCGTTTGTCTGTGACTAGAATTAATTAGAGTAATGAGATAAATATTTTATATTTTACTATCACTGTATGTCTTCTGAAATTGTAGTTTCAATGTCAACAACCAAACCGAACAATTTTTTCCATGAATTAATTCATCACAAATATTCACAGACTATTAATAATTGCCAATTGTTTAACACAAAGTCTGAGCTCTGTCCTAAACCCAGTGCTTTTTACTGACTTTGAATCTGAATCTTGATTCAGATTGTTTAACGGCACAGTCTTACTAATAGTCTATTATATGCTCGGTTGAGTGTGCTAAAATGAACAAAAAGTGTCATTTAGACATCTATTACCTTGTGATTTCCTAATTCTGTGGGGAAAAGGAGTAAATGTCATCTTCAAGTAAAAATAGATGAAGACAGATGAGAGGAAAAGGGGGATTTCTCTTTATCCTGAGATCAGATGCCCTGCAGCAGAGAGCAGCCCTTAAAACAATGCCAGTCTATTGATGCAATCAGACATGACCAAGACTTCATCAACACATCCACTCATAAGCGGTACCAGCGATGTAGCAGTAAAATCCAAATGTAATCTATCAACGCTAATGATCTCATGCCAAACAGTGACTTTTGACCCTGGTTTATATGTGCTCTTCCTCTATTTCCTGCCCCACATTTCCTCATTGTGATGCTTCTGCCCTGTGCCATCTCTGTGCCATAGGGAGGACAGTCACTTTTTCCATTACAAAAAAACATAGAGGCTCTTTCTCTCAAGTCATGCCAGTCTGAAGCTGAGGCCGAGGTAAAGCACAATCTAATGAGACAATACAACAGTAAAACAGCTGTGCCCTCTGCCTCCGGGTGATGCACAGAAGAAACAGGTCTAATGTAACAAAGCTGTAAGAACTGATAACTCTTGTGTTAAAACAAAGTCCAGACCAACAATAATTTCCGGAATGCCTGTCCAGTTTTTACAGCACTATTATGCTGAACTAACTCATTCAAGGCACCAGTGCTCTCGGAAGTGATTCTAATTTGTAGTTTGATCTACAAAAAAGACTATAAAGTTTTTACTATCACTTAGTAACTTAGAGATAGAGGTAAAGAGAGACATAAAAGTTGCTTTCTAACAAAAGTAAAGCATAAATGACCTTTGTGGCAACGTTTTTGCATTTTCAAATAAGTAACATGCATAAATAACATATGAATCCACTTTCACACATAGGCAGGGTGGGTCAAATGAATTGGCATGCAGACACAATGATAGAGTGCTCAGATGAGAGCACATTTACTCCAGTGAAATGTTTATTAATATACACTTAATAAAGAGGTCAAACAGAACACACTGAATGAAACCATGGCCTATATTCCCCCGTGTGTGTTCTGATAATGTTAATTTCTATGACACTGGCTCTAAGTGGGTGCCAAAGCCAGGCAGTGAAATTCCTGGCATCGTCCAAAACCCAATATCTCTAATTACATCCAGCGCAGTGCTATGACAGCTCTCCCATTCTGACCGCAGAGGCCGTGTTAGTGCTGCTGGGAGGGCCACGCCACACACTACAATCTGGACACGGGCCAGACTCCAGACAGACCCAGTGATTGAGGGGAGCAGTAACAGGCTGAATCAGGACTACATGTCTGGGAGGGGAAAAAAGAGAAAAAAAATGTAGACAAAGACACACTTCAAGATGAGAATAATGGTCGAAGGAGTCATGCTAATGTAGTGGAGAGATAGCGGCGGAGCAAGGGATGTTGGGTAATGGATTCGGGTCAGTGGGGCGCATTCTCTCATAGTATTGGATGACATCATGGTACGTAAGTAGAGCTGAATTTGGGATAATATCTAACTGCAATGTTTCTGAAACACATTGCGATTGTGATTAGATTTGCAACTTCACATTTTAAGCATGTCTATAACAACTGACAAAAAGACAGAAATATGAACTGACAAGTCAGTACAAAAATCACATTTCAGAACATGCTTGTGCAGATCTTAAGTACAGGGTTTCCTAATTTGAAACCAGTCTCTTGCTATTTTTGCTACTTATTTTGAATGTATTACCATTTATATTTTTGCTTTTTATTATAATATAGTGTGATATGTGAGCCACTGTGTCCAAATAATTTCCCTTGTGGATCAAAAAAGTTTGTTTAAGTCTAAGGGTTAGTTTTTAATGAAGAGTAAAACTAGGCATGTTGTTGTTTGTGGAGGAAATTATGATACTTCAAAAACCAGTGTTTGTTATTTCAGTATAAAAAAATACACAGAAACAAAACACCGTACTCAAGTCTAGGTTATCAGCAGCATAAAAAAACAATAAAAAGTTGAAAATATTGTATGTCAAATGCAGTCTTTAAAGGTGCATTGTGTAACTTTTATGGTGGAGGTTATTTTTTCTTTGTCTAGAATGTTTCACAGTATGGAATTAAACCTTTCTATCTTCATTGGGACCAAACCAGGCGAAATTATTGGTCAGATCTGTGGAGCGTAAAACCTCACAGTCAGAATGCTTGTTTCTCTATAGGTGTTTTTGAGCAATGAAACCACCTGTAATTGCATAAACGTAAGGTAGAGGTGTTTAATATCATACTGTGGAACATTCCTGGCAGAGTAGTGGCATATCCATAGAAACAAGCAGCTGACGGACCCCCAAGCAAAAAGTTACATAGTGCTCCTTTAAAACAACCCCTACCTGTCTCCATTTAATGCTATTTTGTTGGTGCATTAATGTCAGGGCTACATGACAGTGGCCTTTACGATTTGCCATTCAAATTGCAATTCAGATTAAATTGTAATTAAATTTAGCATAAAGCAGCCTCAGCATAAAGTCACAGTGGCATGTAACAAAGATGGAGGGGCTTTTATTTTGAAAGGAGGTGATTGGGGGTGTGTTTGAAAATAAACAAGCTAAAGTTATACAAGGACATGTCATGATTCCTTTGCTCTTTACATCTTGTGATCCATCAGTTTTGTTTGTGTCATTTGGGAGCGCCATTTGTACACCGCCGAGTTATGTGTCTGCGTGTGGCCGTGCACTCCCGAACTCCGACCTTACAGAGATTGAGTGGGAGCTGTGTATTTGTACTGGGGCCCCGGGGAGCATCAGACGAGGTGAGGAGAGGAGTGACATGAAATAGTAGGGGTTGTAATTTTTAAAAGCATGAAAAAAAAAAGTCTGGGACAGTCAGTAAGAGTTATGGGGTGAGTAGAAGGATAGGAGACAATGTAGTGTATAGAGGTTTCCCCGGGGAGTGCTTAAAAGAGGGAAAGAA